CTTGGGTCAAATAGATAGGCCTAAATATCGGGTCAATACGAATCTTTCCCAGAATCATGATTCTTCTGATTTGTGATTTCCCCTTTTACGTTTTGTTCAATGGCTTTGCATACCGCATGAAGTCTTTCGTCTATGTCTGATCGTCAACGAAACGGAGTTAAGTCTTTTGTTAATTCGTTTGTTGCTACGGCAGGCTGCCAGTGAAAACGAATTCGTTTAATCAAATTATGGAAATGAAAGCATCACTTTAAACGAACAGAACTTTGTTATTCATGGCTCATTTTCCTGAATGAGGTGTCAAGGGGGTGAAAGGGCAAAAACTGAACTTTCTAGAAATGTGAATTTGTCTTCGAAATTCAGGTACCGCCCGCCAAATGACTTTTTGATTTCCATCCTTCAAATTGCTTTTAATCACTCATGCGTAAAATAAACATCATATTATGAGTGTTGCATACGATGAAAGAAGACAAATATGTGTCATTTTTAATTATAATTGTGATTAAGTTATGATAAAACACCGATAATTCTCGGTTTCGTTTATTGCTGGATCGCGCTGTATAATTATCATTTCTAGTATGTTGTTTACTAAATATTTGTAAAATATCAAATATTACATTTTTGGTCTCGTTCGACGAGTTTCAGAGTGATACACACGTGATATACTCTGATGAATTTCGGATTGGGGTAACGCGAAACTTTTTATTTCTGGAAAGGGTGCTGTGACATAAAAGTTGAAAAACGCTGGACTGGACAACAGTTACTATAGACCGTTCAAAAGCAAGAGTTCACTCCGGGAGGTGGCGGTAGTTGGGAAATAGTGGGCTAATTTGCACCCGTCCGAGCTTGTTTGTGATGAGCGTATCGGTCTGGTGAACGCAATTTCAAGCTTCGGGATAATACCCCGAGTCTGAAAATAGTGGGTTTATATTTGGCAAACTCGGGCTGATTTCGACATGAGAACCTATAACCACCAAAAGCTATTATATGTAATTTAATGACAGCTGATGAGGAATCTATACATATTGTTTTACTGTTCTTTACTAGGCAGAGCAAAACAAATTTCGTTCTTAAACCATTGAAAGAGTGTTTGATCCCGACTCCTTTAGTATAATTTTGTGTGGTATGTGTTCACGCTTGGATGAACAGGAGGCATTGTTTGCGAGAGTACACAAATTGATGTGATGTGATGTTTGAATAAAACAATTGGAATTTGGGTATTAATTCGGTCGTTGCAGCTCCAAATGACATCCCTAACAAAATTCATGCCACACATACCAAATATCAACAAACATTTTGTGCGAGTGTGTGTGACTTTGCTTCTGCAAAAAGCATATGCAATGCATCTCATTTGATATATATAATACAAAATTCTTAGGTGTAATGATTGATTCAAACGTAACTTGGAATAGTCATATTAACAACATTTGCATGCTAGTCTCGAGAAGCATAGGCATTTTATATAAATTAAAATATTATCTATCACAAAAGTCACTATTTATGCTTTACAATTCCTTCATTTTGTCATACATATCTTATTGTAACATAGTTTGGGGCAATAGTAGTAAGATGAAAATTGTGTTAATATATCGTCTCCAAAAGAAAGCACTTCGTCTTTGTACACATTCACATTATTTAGCCCATACTGATCCAATATTTTGTAAACTAAAAACATTAAAAATCGCTGACATTCACAGTTTTCAAACTGCAATCTTTATGTATAAATGTTGGATAAATACTATACCTTTGGCATTTCGAAATATTTTTGTTTACAATAGTGATATACATTCTTATCCCACACGACACTCATCTGATTTCCACTTAACAAACCCCAAAATTATTATGGCCTATAAATCGATAAGACATCATGGTCCAGACATTTGGAATGCTTTACCTGACAATATTAAACACTCTGCAACTCTTTATTCATTCAAAGCATCGATGAAAAAATATTTAATATCTACATATTCAAAAACATCATAAGGGTCTCAGAGGTTTTGATTGTTTATTTAAATTAATTTTAGATGACCAGTTCATTAACAATACGAATCGAACACTTACTTCACCTGCACACACCCACTTGCACACACTTGCACATTTTTCTTCTTTTTTCTTTTTTCTTAATTTCTTTCCACTTTTTATTCAGATACTTTCTGAACAAAATCTTTATATGTGACTCTTTATTCCCTACATTCTCCTAAAAACAGCTCCATGTACCCCCCCCCCCCCTTCCCGGCTGCTATCGCCTCAAACTTCTTTGCTTATGATAGTTGGCCTCTGCATTTATGTTGATTATTTTTACTTACCTCCATACTTTCAAGCTTTCAATTATGTATTTTTTTTTTTTAAATATTTTATTTTGTGTGTATTAAGTTGTCACTCGTGATGTAAATCAATTATATTATATACTATTATTGTTATTTGAATGTTTTATATTTGATTTATCAATAAATGCAGAAACATCTGCTAAAAAAAAAATATTCAATTCATTCTCTCACTTAAATCCCTACATACTGTATAGGCATCACTTTGGCGCAAGTCGATTTTTGCACTCCCGCAAACAATGCCTCCTGTTAATCCAAGCGGGAACACATACCACACAAAAATGATACCAAATGATTTGGGATAAAACGCTCTTTCATAAGTCATGTATCTGTTCAAAGATGATTTTTAAAATAATTAGCAATTTTCACGAAGTGACGGAAGCGAGGAAAATCGTAACGCAAAGTGAATGCAATTTTTTTCACTACCGTCACTTCGTGAAAACAGCGACGAATTTTCTGGGTGTAATTTTTTTTGACTCGCACGGTACAGGCCTGAAAATACTGGGGAGGGGAGGGCTTCGCCCATTTGCTAAATACGTTCATGTATTATCATTTTACCTGCCTCGTAAGACCCCCCCCCCCCCCCCCCCCCCCCCAGTCATGATGAAAGTGCCCCCCCCCCCCATGCTTCGCTACTGCAGGAAGGTATCAAATACAAGTAATGCTTGTCCGTCATACATCCGAGCAAAGGATGGAACTTCTACAACGACTTTAGGAAGTAAAATGCGAGTTAAGTAACATGATAAAATGAAGCATGTTAAAACTATTATGATAACACATGTTTTGAACATGATGTTTATTCATATAAAGAAAGAGATCAAAAAAAAATTCAGACAATCTGAAGAAAAATAATCTGATGACAGGATGGATAAGGAAGTTGCCTTGGTAATTTGCGTGTAGCTGTTTCCTATACCTTACAAAGAGAGAGATCATATTGAGATCAAGTGATTCATTGCTAACATCTGCTTGCAATAGATATCGTGTGTCTATAAGCAAAAGGCAAAAGGAATATAATGGTTACCATAAACATAATGTTACTTTCATTCCACTTTTTGTTATATCTCAGATTCAGAGACGATTTATGGTTTATTATTCTTTTCATTTACATATTTTTAAAGATCTTTGGTGGATATTATTCCGTCAAAGGAATATGCTACAGGGTCTTAAAAGTCTGTCCGTTGTGATGTTAATATACCCAAGAGAACCGAAGCAGCAAGATTCTTCGTAATTGACAGATTTAATTCATGAATGTCTATTTCTCGATTGATTTGCAGAACATGAAGAATAGAACATTTAACCTCAACAAATCGCCACGTTTTCTAATCCGACCTGACAACAGAGATCATCCTTGCCCGTGAATCAAAGACTTTCATCCTTCCATCATGGAGCTCACGGACACGTCTTCCTTCAGGCCACGCTCTTAGAAGTTAGGACTTCTTTTTGTGATGTGACAAGATTATCGATTTATGAGTGGACAAATGCAAGACGAGTTTGCGGACTTGTGAAGAATGTAGTCTTTGAGGAACAGACACCGAAACAGGCATTCTGTTCTGAACATTCTGACACTCATCACTGATAATGATCCTGTCGATATTAGACGCATTTCACAAAGAAGCAATAATTTTGATACAAGGAAGGTGTCCATTAATGTCGTAGTTTTATTTCGATTAATCCAACACAAAGAAAGATCTACAACAACAAATAAAAAGGAAAATCATATCTAAAATCATCTTCTATTGGGCGATATTTCAATGCTAATTTTCTGTTATATCTTTTTCTTTATTATTGTGGCTATCTTGTTATTCTTTACATTATTTTGAAAATGAAATTAATTCGCATAGAGTGACTATACTACTACTACTACTACTAAAAATATACACACCACGTATCTCTCACTATATTATTAGAAGAAAAAAACAATTGAGAGGAGAAAGTAGAAGAAAAAAGGCGAGAGGTTTAATAGGTGAGACAAAGTAAATGTTAAAAGGCCATGAAAGATATTCTGTCATGACGTTGGTTTATAAAACACGATTGGATATTGTATTAGAAAATGATCCTCAAAAGACACAAATTATTTCTGTCATTGATCACGCTTACACGATAGGTTCAGATGATGTTATTTCACATCTCTAATTTTAGGATAACCCTAACAAACTTTGTGCAAAAATACAGGGGCCTCATTTGAATTATTATAGTAAATTTTCATGATTATTACTGTTGTTATAATCATTATTTTTATTTCTAGGAATCCGCAAAATATGCCTATATCGTATCATTGTTACACGTTGACAATAATCATATTTTATTTTCACCCGAGATGCAGCAAGTACGCTTTACATGCTTTCAGAAATAATTATATAGGCCTACTTGTGAACATCAAAACGTGTTTGAAAACTTTGTGAAAATATAGCCATATTGTTTGTTTTTCCATTGGTGATAATACCGTCTGCCTAGGTGAGACTAGCTTGATTTTATTGGTTGATATCATTGGATAGATTTCATTCAGCCTTTTGTGTATGTCCCGCTAGCTGTTCACCGGTATCCAAGGCATTGTCTCTCCCGTACTTTGTCAAGGGACTGCCGGTCGCGAAGTTCCAACATGGCGTCCTTAGCAACAGCGTTCTAAAGGGCAGAGTCCACCAAGCGTGACTATCGCAATGCGGGTTGCTCTCTTGGTCGTATCTATAAACATAAAAGCTTTTGTCGTACAAGGGAGTTCACGCGCGGCGCTGCAGTCAGTCTGCCACTTTATAACATAATCTTGTCAACTTCGGACAAAATATCACCAGGATAGCCAAGAGAACATTATTCTTCTCAAAGACTCGAGTTTAGGAAATTATTATCAATTTCCAGCAACCATCATAATAATCTTGTCTTGTCGTCGGAGTATATACTCGCACGCGGGACAATATTTTTAATCGGATTGTCGACACGAGTTAGGTTTGTTTCACCTTCAAGACGAGTTAACTTTATTGTTTTTGACAATAACTAAAGAAATCAGCCATCATGCAGGAATATAGTGGTCAAACGATGACTTCAAGTTACTTCAAGGCGCAACCAACCATCGGGACAAGTTTCCTACCACCACTAGAGAGCACGATGCGCGCCTCGTACAAGAGTTATGCCCCACCATTCGTGGTAAGCCAGTCCCTCCATCTCCCGTGGAAGGCTTCGACCTACTACCGTGGAGCACAGCAGTCCATGCCCATGACCCGCAGTGCACCAGAGATCAACCCAAGTACCTTGTACCGTGATTATACCATGATGAAGGTACCCCCTATGATGCCATCAGCCAGGACCGCTCTCTTCTCCAAGTACACACCCCATGACTGGTTCAAGAGCAACAATACCAACTACCGCACCTCCGACATGACACGAGGCGCCGCCCAGCGACTCCGAGACGAGAACGTCCGCCTCTGCCACGACACCGATGCCCGAACCGTCAAGACACAGCAGGATTCCAGCAAGAATCTAGGAGATCGTCTCGCCGACGTCAACTTCTGGAAGTCCGAAGTCACCCACGAGTTGGACGAGATGGGTAAGGAGATCGGTGATGTCACGGAATGGAAGAGAAGGTTGGAGAATGCTCTGAAGAACACTGAAGGCCCTCTCCAGATCGCACAGGAGTGCCTCTTCAACCGAGAGAAAAGACAGGGCATCGATCTCGTCAACGACGCCGTTGAGAAAGAACTTATCAGGGTAAAGTATAATGTTCTTATATGTTCTCTCTTTTCTCCCGTTTTTATCTTTCTCTTTCATTACATGTAAATCAATGTCCGGTCTTTTACCGTTTTTTTACCGTGACAGATTTTCATATTTTGTCCAAAGTCTTCCAAAGATATTGTTCATTCTATTACTGAGTAATGCATATAACAACAAATTGTAATTTACAACAGACATTAATCTTTCGTGACTTTAGATTTATTATACATACACAAAAATAATGTTCTAAATTTGTTTCGCTCAAACAAAGTTAAGAAAACAAATTATATTTAACTACCAATAGTGAAATTAGAAAATACATTTTGTATATGACAAGAAAACAAGCCAATTGCATGTTTGAGACATCCTTTTATATGTGGATCTCGCCTAACAGAATCGTTAGGGACTGAAACTTATCTTTTGGGTTTGCCGAAATTGGCTCTCTATTTCAAAACCGGAGGACAAACATACACCTGCTTTGTTTACCAAATAATGCCCCCTCTGGCGAGGCAAAAAATAGTACCCAAACCAACTATAAATCCTTTTTAAATATATGCCGTCTACTCCCCTGGAGACCCTCTTCAGATCTTGTCTTTTATTCATTGGTGTGTCTTTCGGCTCAGTGAAACTCTTTAAAAACACTCATCGCCTCTCAAATAGACTCTGTCAACAACTTTCACTGATGCCTGCCACTTCAGTCTGTGTGTATGGCTCGCGTTGGTCCAGACCCATAGCAAATAACTTTTGAAGAGTTGGATATATACACATTACTCAATTTTTTAAAGACAAACTATTTATTTTTAGGGTACGTTTTTAAAGTATGACAAAGGAATGTCGAAGGAATGGCAATATTTCTATGATCTAAATTTCATTAGGTTTGACAATTTGTATCTGATTATCATAACAACTAAAGTATACTAGATTAATAAATTAGAATCGTCTGCTAATCAAAGCAGGCGTGGGGGTCTACTCGAAGTGCAGTGCGCATGACGGTTACCATGACGAAGACAATGCTAATTGGGCGGAGCTATTGTGAATCCATGGTACCGGGAACAATAGACATCATGTCAGCATTGTCTCACGAACATAAACACACACTGACTCAAGTTTGGCATTGAGATACACATGTGTTCGATAGATATCGCGCTCTTATTGGTCCGTCTCACCCGTGACGTAATCGCACCCCTCCTCATTCATAAAACTGAAGAAACTTTATTGATGTATCGTCATGTGATGATCAGTTTCATGCAGGACCATACTATGTATTCGGGCGAGTGCACTATAATATTATTCTCTCAACTCCAAACGAAAAAGAACCCGCTTGCGGAACAAAATCCCCAAATTTGAGCACACTGGTTTCACATCTGAACAGAAACTTTAATATTTGACGAGATGTTTTCATTTTATTAGACAGACCCAAATTATATCAATGGCAAGACAAACATTATTATGATAACAAATTACAGGTTACTTTTCTAAACTTTGAGACGTGATAGAGGTTTCTACAGAGAAACTTGTCACCATCGAGTTGAATCGTTAGTTGCACATGATAACTTTAAAAGAGAACCCCAAAGCTCCGCATCGAAGTATTTTCCCATTTGAGTCATAGAAGAGAAATCTAAATAGTTATTTACATAAATTATACCAATCAAAATTATGTAAATGAAGATTGTGGATTGATTTTTTTTCTCCTTCATCTCTACCAAATGCGTTTCCCGCGACCCATATTTTAATCAAAACTATGGGTTATCAGGTTGACATTTTAGACTTAATTGCATTCGTCATGAATTTCCTTTATTACAAAAGAGTCAATTCTCTTAGATCGAAAATGTAATAAACATTGCTTTGCAGTCGATAATGTTCATTATGGAGCAAAACTCAAAACACCATCATTTCATGCTCGCTCTCTCTTTCTCTCTTATTGCTTCGTAACGTACTGAATGATATCTAATATGCCCTATTTGTTATACCAAATTGCCTAACTAAAACTCTTTATTTTGCTTTAACAGGAAGTGAACACAATTAGGAAGAGTCAAGATCACCTGAGGAAGATGATTGACAGAGCCAACAGTCAACTCAGGTAAGAGGATTATAATATTGAATAGATTATTAAAATACTACAAAATAGAACTTTTGATATGAAATCATGCAGTGTGGCAAAATATATTTGAATAAGGTGCACTCATTCTTTTAGTTTACTAATTGATAAGATCTTCATTATCTTTCACCTAATAATCTTTTGCTTCAGGGAGGGAAATACTGATATTCTTAGTTAAAACAAAAATTGTCCAACTCTCAAATAGTTATTGTTGGGCAAGATTTGCTGCCCGCAACATGGAAAATGGAAAACATAGAAATGGCTTAAAATCGGGACAATATCTCAATCTCACGGTCTATAAACAAGAGGCGACATTATTAAGCTTATACACGATTATGATATGGGTTTTTATCTTTATAACCAATGGCCAACAAACTAATCTCATATAAGTCGAGAATTTAAATCATGTTGAAACTTGACTGATGAGCATGTGCATCATTGTCAAAGAATATCATTCTTCGGCACGAACAAGGACAATTTTGATTCACTGAGAATTGAATCAATAACGTTGTGATCATTATCTTTGATCTTTGGTGAATAGTCAATCAGGTATGTGGCCATTTTTCGGTTAAAGAAAGCAAACAAGAGGCTGATAATTATTGGAACTGCATGCTGCAGTCGAAGGGAAGTTTGAGTTTTCCGAGTTTACTGGTTCTTTGACTCAATGAAAATCGTTGCTTTGGCGACGAAATGCCGCAGAGAAAGAAATAATCGTCATTCGGCGATGTCCATATGCAGATGTTCTAGGCACCTGCATCATTTTGTTCGATAAACATCAAGGACAGCGTCATTGAGTGGGCTAAATACATGATCGGATGGCGTGAAAAACTATTCATTCTATTCTCATGATGCACGCCATAGATTCGATAAATGTTTTTCTTTTGGTATTTTCACACAATTTGTTGTGATTCTCTTTGCTAACTGTGGTTTTCTTGAATAAGAGAAATAAAAAGACGGTTCTTATTTAGGTTCTTCTGGCATTGCAGACTGAATAAGGGCGGGGTTATCTGGTTAACAGAAGACGGACCATGATAAATTTAAATACATGTATTTTAAACCATTTCTCATGACGATACTATAAGCGTCTTTCCATTCCATCAATACTACTACTTAGCCAATGAACGAAAATTGAGGGGCAATTCTATAATTCAAGTGGTGACATCTCCGTTGCGCACTTCTTCCTTTTCTCGATGACTTAATTACGAATTCCACTGATTTTATGACGGTTTTTACAACACTGTCGTGCCTGTGTTAGGCAGATTTTTATGATTCATTAAGTTTGCTTTTCACAACTACCCCGATCCTGCCATTGAGACACTTCTAATGTATACGTCTCATTAGTTGAATGGAAATTGTTAGGTGGAGTACTGAAATACCTCGAGCGTGAACATAAAATCCGGGTCATGTGTTCGATCAGCAGGTCAATCTTTACGATGACGCAGACATTCGAACACTACTATGGCGCGACACAGTAGTGTTAGAATGTCTGTATCAGGGTAACCTGGTCATATTTCCTACCCTAATCATGTTGATAGAAGAGGCAAATTGTCCGCAAAATTTCAGACCATCATTACCTTTTGTCATAGGCACGTCGATTAGCATAATTTGACATAAGCTTCTAACAAACGCTATCAGATATCTCCAATAAGTTAATGTCAATGATCATAATGGTTGCTAAATATATCTATTTGATATCACACCTTAAAGTCAATGTTCTTTACATTCGATTGCATTCTTTATGATATGTATCTTAACTTTTAGAACCTAATCACTTTTTGTGTCAGTCGATATTTTGTCATGGCAACGATCGATTAGATGCACCCGTCGTTGACCGAGATTATTTAAGAGTCACATAACTGTGGTACCTGACCCCTTTAATTGATCATAATGAGAGCAATAGGCGAATCGTGAACAAATAATGAAGGGCACTTAATGTAAACATATTTGCGATTGCTCTTTTACAGTCTGTTACAAAAATGCACGAACGTTGTTTTCATAACTGTCTGAACAAATGTTGCCATTTTATTACAAGAATGTACTGGATTTCAAACCCTTTAAAATGATAAGCTGTTAAAGGGGATAAGCACAATAATTCTCCTTCTCTGACAACTCGGATCTGAATTATTAGTAACAATATAGAGCCTTCATCACTAGCAACAAAGATAATCATTTTATATCGACTATATGGAAATTATTATGGAAGGGCTCTATATTGACCACTCCCAAATAAGAGCTATGATGCGTCTTCTATCTCCATGACAGCGGATTTGACCATGGCATCTTTTGCCCTTGTAGACTCTTGGTCTCCACGACTACCGACCTTCGAACCCTATTTGGTACAAGTATCTTCCAGTTGTTCTTGAATGTAACTTGGTAACTCAAACAATGTCCGTTAGCGTCGTGTCATAAAACGCTCTGCTTGCCTTTGGTATTGATAATATTGACTTCTGAGGGTCAGTACTTTATTGGATCGGACACCCAACCTTTCCATAATTCTCCATTCAACATTGGTGATGGAAAACTCCCTTATTACGCAGTTAATCCTCCCGATACTCTGTATCCATGGGCCCACATAATACCGATTTATCAAGAGGCGAACAAAGTGAGAATAAATTACATTGAAACCGATTTTTTTTTTTTTTTTACTCTATACTCACATCTGTCTACCATGAATAATTCAAAATGATTTTTGACGCCACGTTTGCCCGCCCTTGGCTATATATCTAATCAATTTAGGATGAAATTCAATTAATCTGTCAGCTGACTATACAGCCTTCCCCATGGTGATAATGGCGTTTCTCATCAATAGTTGATTCAATATTAAAAACGCTTGGTATATAATATGTCTCCGCCGGATGTTTGAGTAGATATTTTAGCTGTAGGTTTGATTGATTATTATGCCTAGCAACACAATAGTCTGTGTTCTCCACTTCTTTTCCATTAACAAATGTGAATAATTAACAATATCAGCAATAAATGAACACATGCCCTTTTGATGTAACTCATACATAATTAGAATTGTTTTCGGCGTTTACAATAATGTCTGATAGATTACAAAATCATTGATCTTATACAGATTATACGATGAGAAGAAATCACATTGTATAGACAACATCAGTCTTGGAGGAAACACAACATCCCATGAGGGTCCATTACTGGTTATTTGATCGCATGTTACATGTCCTTTAATCGTAAATTATGTGAAATGAGAGCATCGTTTGGTGTAAAAATATCGTTTAAAAGACCGCTTAAAAAGATCGAGCGCGGTATAACATTTATCAACCTCGATCTCATCCACCTGTCGCATTTAGCCCAAACTCTCGTGCTCGCACACAATCACACTAGATCGTCTTCTTCTCCTTCGTAGTAAACATTGGTTTCAGTGAATGTGAGAATGTGTAACATTTGACCTTCACGACTCCAGGATACCGCGTATATCCTCAACTTTTCTGACTGAACCTACTATGACCTGACCTGACTCGACCTGACTCGACCCACATACATAACTATGCTTAAAATGTTTGAAATGTTCGCAATATCACAAAACATTCTAGACAATGTTTGCACGTATATTTTTCAGTCGTCACATGATAATGGCATAGGCAGAGCATTTTGATAAGATCAATTTATATTTGATAAAGAAGTATTATCTTCAGTGTCGGTGATCTCTCCTACTGTTGCATTGTCCTTACATGTACCTCACGTCTGCAAGTTCAAGTATCAATTGCATTTCTATTACCTCTTACAAACCAGTTTATATTTTAATCAGAGGTATTGATCTCACACTGTATACCATGATTGTGTTTGTGTGCTTAGTCTCAAAGTTCGGCGATATATTCAAATAGGAGAGATTTGAAATAATGAAAGACTTGATGTTTTAGTAAATGGGGTGTAAGAAACATCTGATGTTGGTTATGTTAACTCAAGTTACATTACGTGAGAAGGACCTAGGTAAACGAATTTGGAGTAATATTACAAATCTTCTTCTCTCTGTTCTCTCCCTCTTTCTCACCCCTTTCTCATCCAAGAAAGAGGGTTTTAGTTATTTTGCTATTTACTGTAATATTATATACAGACTTTTCCTGAATTTTGTTTTCCCCTCTTAATTTTATTTTACAAAAACGAAAAAATCCCGTTTTTTTTCTAATTTCATTTTCATAATACTTTGAAGTTAAAAAAATTGTCAAAAGCATACGACATACACAGTGGTATCACTAATTAATTCGTTGATTATTTCCCTTTTGTTTTGCAGTATGGACCGTGCAGCCCAGCATGAGTTGGAGAAGGACTTGACAGATAAGTTCCGTGCTCTATCTATTGATAACAAGTGTCATCAGCTAGGCAAACACATCGTCAGGCATGGGATTCTTCCGCGGGGTGGAAGGTGTCGATCAGACGTAAGTAAAAACATTTATTTCATGCCATTAAATTCTGTTTTCGTTCATGTAGTAGCACTTTCAATTTCTGTTGCCAGTAAGAAATGAAAAACATGAATAACCGCTTATCTGTCGCTTAAGCAAGGGCTATTTATTTAGGGGTGGAAGAAAAAATATTACAAGTTGCAATCTCTTTCCAAATCGAAGCCCAGATTCGAAGCGAACGAAAGACCTATTTAAGTATGGAAAGAATGTTAATAAGCTTTAGATAGATAATAACGACCCTCTCGGCGGGTTTCGGACGTTGTAATCGCACTTTTTAAGCCCTCTTTTGTGATTGTCAGTGATGCTTACATAAGACACCTTATAACTAAACAACATGCGGATTATCTGTGTAAGGAGATCGTGGAGAGGCTTGAAATAAATCATGCAAGCACTCTAGTAATTGGTAACGTGAGCGCTGTATTTTTCTGTTCTGGTCTGAGAAAAAGTTGTGAATTTAACAATACAAGAAGTTTCACTCTCGTCACTCATCAGATGAGATATCAGTGCAATATAGATGAATGTATAAAGGCGATGCCGATTCGCTGTATACGTACGGCCCGCATGCTCCCCATGTGAAGCGAGCGACGCGGTAACCATAGAGATCACCATAGTAACCCGTTTCGCGTCCGCCCGCCACCTGTAGATTCGGCAGCGGGCGAGCAGTGAAAGTCTCTTCCGAATATCGATCTCGTCCTGTAAATTATCGATCTTTGACTATTCAGAGCTAACGTGGCGATTCTTTTGTTTACTGTAAGACATGGGCGGCTGAATGGGGGTAATGATTGTTGTCGGTGTTGCTCTTAAGAATATATGCAGACCAGCAGAACGAAACATTGAAAATGTTGTCAGGCTTCCGATGTTAGCTTTTGAGAGTGGTCGATAATTACATGGTATCAAATTGTTTGCGACAAAGAGAGATAGAGATAGAGTCGATTGGAGAGCTGGTCCGATGGGAAACCATAGAACGACGAATTAAAAATTTAGACCGGTTTATTCATTCATAATTAATTTGTGTTGTTGTTTGCATTCACGTCCTTCCTGAATCCTTACTTTGAAAAACAAAATCGAAATAGTCTGACAATAAGAACTATGAAACATAATGCACCTATGAATATATTAAAACATTTAGGTACGTTGACTAGTTAAATATAAAATAAGATTGCTCACCACCGATTGGCTATATCATCACCGGAGGATCCATAATGATTGGGGGGGGGGGGGGTCTGAAAAAATCATGTCAAGAAAAGATAATGAAATCATTTTGTCGCCCGATTTTTTTTCTTTGCGGGGGGGGGGGGGGGCATGTCCTCGTATCTGTCATTCCCTATACTTTAATTTATTTGAAATATACGACACGTATAGCATTGTGTTACAAAAAAGCCGGCGAAGTGAAATCTACTCTATTCTATTTTTAGAGCCAAGAAAACATACATGGGTCTCTTAAGTCATAACATTTTGCTTAGCCTCTTTCAAACATATCAATATTTTCTTACCCAAGTAACCGAAACCCTCTTTTGTACTACAGTGCAATCACATACCTTACTGATACGGAACTTTGCTCAAGATAAACATGCTTTAGGAAGGAGTTGCTTTGCCTTTCTTGACTTACTTCTTAAAATAAACAAGCCGAACAAAACAAACCTCCTACTAAGTTAATATAAAAGGGTTCTGGTAGTATTTGATTAAAGAACACTTAGCGATCAAATGTTAGAAGCGTTAAACAGCGGCGTGGTGTTTCTTTGGTAACCGCTCCTTAGCAACACGGTGGGATTGTTAGTTTGCCAGCCTGTTATTCTTAAGTGATCAACTTTACTTGGTTTTGATCGCTTGGGTAATTTAGTAAATTAAATATTTATGTCATTTTACCGAGCTAGCGATATTGTAATAGCCGTTCACATGACAACAGTAATATCCTGAATCATTTGGCCTCGGCCCGTACCTCGCTGACTTTCAATCTCATAATGCCAATTATGAATAACTGAAACATGTTTTTGATATGAATTGGTTCATTCCAAAATGGATGTTGACGGAAATATCTACCAATGTTATAAAGCATTTGCACGGTTTTTGTAATATTGTGAATTCTCGTAACCGTTTGAGCTATAAAACGCGGGTGGGAAAAAAAATACCCGAAGTAAATTCATAGTTTTGCGCGGAACATCATATACATGTATTGATTAAAGATCGAACGTTAAGTTCTCTCTATCGTGTCCATTAACTCTACGATGGATTTGTCCTTCCGCTGGGCTTTAGAATTTCATAAGGTACTGGAAATAAGCAATCCTTTTCATGAATAAAATATCAAATGGAAGCAATAAACTCCGCGATAGGGAAGTCAATTGAATGGAATATAAACAATGGCCCTTTTCATAATGGGCTTTTATGCACCATATTTCATTAGAGAAGCTTTTGTTTGACACGACATTGGAATCAAATATGAAACAAAATATTGGTAAAAATAACTCAGTTGACCTCGGTTCGATTTTGTTTCACCGGTTTTCTCATAATGGCATTATCATTTGCATATTTTAATTGCCATGACGACGCATCACGCAACTTCCATCGGGTATTACGGTGGTGACATTATTGGCATTGTGTCTATTCTTTGTTGTATGCTGTATAATAGATCAAAATACAATTTTAGGCTCAAGTTTTATTTGAAAACCCCAGATTATTATCCTATTCTGCATGAAGTTACTCCTTTGTTAAAGGTAAAGACCAGTATTGGCAACGCTCCAATTTCAAAAAATGAAATGGAAGCTCTCATTACCAATCATGTGAAAGAATATGTTTTGACTAATACATGATGATAAAAAATTTGCCGGGAAACCGCCTACTAATTCATATATTTGGTAAATTTATTTCTCTCATGGTCTGGTGAGAGAGATAGGGTAGTCCCATATACATCTTTCTGTGTATAGTGCTTGTAACTTTACGAAGAATGAGCCAAATTTCTTATCATTTTGATGATTCCAGAACCTTGCAGATGCTAGATGCTAGATGATCGACCTTTTCTGATCGATTCCACAACGTTTCTTTCACAATGCAATCGCATGACCATTACTGGTCTTTACCTTTAAACAGACTCAATTAATAAATTATTATTTGAATTGAAATAAAAAAGAGTTAAAATTCTAATAATAACTGTTACAGATCATATTAATCAATCAATGTTTTATTGCTCGACTGAAAGTAAGAGCGAAATAAACTATTCTAACGATTACCGTCGTTTCGATTTCTTCTCTCCTCTTTACAGTGTAACCGTGCCAGAGAGTTGGGCCAAGTTTAGCAACGATAACATCCTTCGATCACAGCGTGAACGTAACTCTTCTAAGGGTCTCCGATCCGACGTCGATTCCTCGCTCCAGGAGACGTCTAATGATATGTGGACTCAGTACAACACCGTCAATGTGGCCTTCAGTGGAAGGATCGCAGAGACCATGGATGCTAGGAATAGCATCTCGGCTCATCTTTCGAAGGTAAGTTGGGAGGAAATAGTTGTAGATGTACTATAGTAAAAGTACGAGTCCAATACATCCGTGTCCCAAAGTTTCTTGTCCGTGTGAAATAAGTGAAAGACCAAAAAATAACTGTCAAGTTAATGAAAATATTGTTTTGACCCTCGACATGGACATTCATGAAAAACCAAACGCAAACAGAAAATTATGCATATCCAATATATCTTACATGATATGAAGGTTCGCAAAGAGATTATTCCTTTTCTTTATAATGAGATTCTTTACGTAGAGCATCTTTTGTTCAGCTTCTTAATAATGATAAATTAAGATTTTGTTTTGAAAATATCCTTTACCTAGGGTCTTTGCACGTCCACCCGGACTCCTACTTATTCTTTTCTTTTTATGTTTAATTATATGCTTCGTGCTAAACATTGCTCCGTTCCCTTTACATTTCGGCTCCTCCCACTAAACTAAATATTTTGTTCTCTCTCTCTCTGTGTTATAGGTTCTGCAAGAGATTAATGAGATGGAGAATAACATCTCTCTTCTTCGCAAGTCCATCAAGGATAAGGAAGCACCAATGCAGGTAGCCCAGAGCAGGCTAGAGAACAGGACAAGGAGACCTAACGTCGAACTCTGCAGGGATCAGCCACAACACAGGTACGTTGCAATGGCGATTAACCCTACCATAAAACATTTGATTTATTCTGTATTTATTCATTTTGTTTGTTTACCGCGGCGCATGTGATAGCACATGAAGCCATCATGCTACGTTATACCCCAGTAATGATATTTTGTTCGTCCTTAATATATCGGCCTTGTGTCGATATATGACCAGAGTGTAAAGTATACGTTTCCTATAGTGCATTTAATCTTGTGGACCAATCTTTACTGATTTTGCTGTCACGCCATTTTCTGTATCATTCATGACTTGTAAAACTGACGGGAAAAGTCGTCCTGAAAATAAATATGACAGTATGTAAAAGACAGTTAGTATACAGAGTCCAACCGGAATGAAATCATCTTAAAGATAGAGTGACATATTTTCATTACTAATAGTTGAAATGAATTATTTCACAACTTCTTATTCACATTAATTTTTGTACAATACTAAACATTTTCTTTCTCTTTTATTCATTATTACAGGCTTGTGCATGAGGTTGGTCAGATCTACGAGACCGTCGACATTCTTCAGAACCGCCTGCGCGCCGCAGAGAGCGCTCTTCAAGAACTCGTCCGCACCAAGACAACTTTGGAGCACGATCTAGGAGTCAAGAATAACTCCCTCTACGTCGACAAGGAGAGGTGTATGGGAACCCGAAAGACCTACCCAACGACAGCCAAACTTGCAGGGTACCGAGGCCAGTGAGATCTACAATTCGAATCTATGCAATGATGCGTAGGTCATAGAAAATTAGACCGGACTGTGATATATATATATATATATTTCAGCTGCCTTGACAGAACATCTGTCTTTATGTGAAGCTGCTCGCTATGTGTTTGCCTAGGACTTGGTATGTTCTTAGTTCTCGCCAATGCAGCTAAATCACTATTCTATCCCAGAGAGAGATAATGATTATATAAGTCCTTTTTGTAAGGTCAACACCTTGATTATGGAATATAATTGAAAGAATTAATTTGAAGGCAACACTCAGATTGTGTCCTCGACCTAGGTCATAATATTTTATAATATTTAACAGCTAGATTACATGTATTTAATAATCAGTTGAATAAGTGCATTGATTGAATTTTATTATCGAGTTGTGAGTAGCGAGTATATTATGCAAACAATCCGTCCAAATTATTATCTGCAATCGTACTTGCTGCCTTTAAAATATCAGATGCCATGATTACATGTATGAAGCGGACATGTATATTATTATTTAGAACAGCTTATGTTTAGAAACATCACACTACAACGCAATGTATGACAAAGTATTACAGGAAATAGTAATTATATTAACACTCATCGTGGTTGATAATAAGAACAGTGGAACTAACCAACATGAAAAAGAACCCTGAAGCATATCCAATCATAGGGAATAGATCGAAGTAAGTCGGTAAATAATACATCTTGAGATAGAAAACATATTTATTTTAGAATTGTTTCATATATTATATATTACTCCGACTTTTCACAGTTCATGTGGTTCATTCTTTTGAGTTATCGCTGCCAAAATGTAAATCTGCCTTATTTCTTGATCACGGGACTGTCAATATATTTTGTACCGATATGTTTTGTATTAGAACCTAATAATTATTGTACAGATTAATATTATTTCATTTTACTCATAATTTGCATTATTGGGTTAACGCAACAGTAAAATTGAATGATCTTAGTATTATTACCGGTAGTTATACCATAAAACTATTATACTGCTATTGCGTTTAGCCACTATTTACAATATCTGAATCCGTCCATTCTTTTTGTGCATTATATAGTAGCTATATGACTCTCCTCATATGGGCTTATTTTCATGGCACTTAAGAACACCGGTGTCACTACATCGGAGCAAAAGAATACACATTTTCGGGAGGCCTGTAAAGCAGATAGTGAATTTTGCAGAAAAGGTTGGAAGGCATATTGATATTTTTATTTTATTCCTGCGAGCGGGAATAACAATGCCGAGATGTCTTCTGGCAAGCATAAGCAGAAACAAAATAAACAAAAAGCTAAAATGTACAGGTATATTTGAAGCGTATCCTTTACTAGTAGTCATATGAGGAGAGTTAGATTTATTAGCGTTTTGATGAACGCACAATATTATACATGTATTTCACTGCGGGCCGATTTAGCCCTTGCCTTTCTTCTGCGTTTTCATGTATTTTATTTTTCTTTGAAAGAGTGATTTGGGAAAATGGAATTTGCTGCTTGAACAAAGGGTGGTTATTAACGTTTCCCTTGGAATGTTCCATCCACTTTCATGCCAATAATGACGATAATAATTATGCCGTGCCTCTCTACAAGAAAGTGTCTTTATATTTTACCGTTCTGTGGCAATAGATCGAGTTGAATTCTGCTTTATCAGATTTGAAATGAAAATGGATCGGCGTTTCGGAAGTGAACAAAATGTGAGTAACATTGAATGAAAGAAGAGTTTATTTTATCATTGAAAGGAAGAAGGAATCACGAATGGTATTACATGCTGTAAATATTATAATGGAGAAATAATTCAGATTCTATTGAAGATTGTACATATTATGCCTTTCAATTCTTTAAGATGTTGCCTTGTGCATGCTGGAACCAATCTGAAGCATGGAATTGTTTATTTTCTTCATATTGATTAATCAACTATGCAATTGTGATGTTGTGTCGCTCATTATTCTGGCGTTTGGACACGAGTGTGTGTACAGTATTCACGTGTGAACAATAAATCATCACTAAAAGTATATCAAAGATATCTGTGTGCGTCTTATTTTATGTCAGTGTGATCTGCCTCTGATCTGGTATGATGCAAACATGATCGTAAACCTAAAGTCAATAAACAGTTTGCTCTTTCTCATTCTCTTTCTCATTCTCTTTCTCTTTCTCTTTGTCTCTCTCTCTCTCTCTCATTCTCTTTCTCTTTCTCTCTCTCTCTCTCTCTCTCTCTCTAAGTTTGCTCATCCTTTCTCCAACTTTTCTGGCCCTTTATTGACTTGAACATTATGAAGAGCCATTTGTAGCCCGAAAATATTCAAGTATTTTAGACTTTTCATAAATTCCACATCAAGAACGTGAAATCTCCTTGATAATAGAAAATATGAATGACATTTTATACCTTTCACAAATATTTTCAAAGATGCTAACAGCTCCCCGTGATTGTAAAGTTTAACTTAGAGATAAGTTCAGCTTAGAATATTTGTGAAACACCCCCCTGATCTCAATATCGTGACATTGAAAAACAAAAACAAACAAAAACGCAAAAAAAAACACAACCTTACGATGAAGGAGATGGAAAAGGGAAGGAAAGAGCGATGTTTTCAAAAAAGCTATTAGATGTGATTCTGTTACATCACGATCCCTGATCAGTCCAAGACTCGCATGACAATAATATAACACACACTTATCAAATACAGAATACAGAAAACAGCTTATGATTGGGGGTAATTGGGGATACTTTATTAATATTTCTGTAATGCATTGAGCACTTGGACATATAATCAGTCACAATGTGTGACATCGTCATATAAGGATACCTTGATAACTCCACTACACATTCCTTAAGAAAGATACATTTGTACAAGTCGAATCTAATATCTTTTTGAAACATTATAGAAATTTTTTTATGAAGTGACATAAATACCCGACCCAGATTTTTAATATATTTTGTACAAGTATTTCTTTCAAAAATAGTTACAAAGTTTTTGTATTCATTTTGCATTCTTTCACTTAAAAGTACTAGGGAGTTCATGGAAGGGTTTAGAATTACGAATCCAATAATCTTATGAAATTTCGATAGATGTGATCACTGGAAGGAGAATGATAATATTCAATGGTCACTGACAAGTGCTTTTATAAACACAAAATGATCAAGTTTTTCATGTAATTTCTTATTTCAACACCAGAAGTCAGAAAAAAGCATTTATACCATTAAAGGATGATGAGCTTCAAAATATTTTACACGATACCTCACAAAATCGAGTTTAGAAATTACTTTTAATAGTTACTATAAATTAGGTATCATATTTCTAATGACAAAACAAAAATGTACATTCTAATTTAAAATCTGTAGTTCTAAACAGATGCAGTTTGACCCTTTAATTACTAAGCTCAAGATGATAATCCTTGGAATCCTTGTGTATTACGTAATATAAGGTAATGCCATATCAATAGACACAGAATACAAAATATCTTCTTAGACTACACATAGCCCTAGTGTACTCGACCTATTTATTCATTTTGTTGTTGTTGTTGTTGTTGTTTGTTCTTAATCTTAGTCTTAATCTAACTTCAAGATTATGTATCATACAAGTTATACAATATATATATATATATATATATATATATATATATATTTTTTTTTTTTTTTTTTTGTACAGTAACCTCAGTATTTTGATAGATTGTATGAACAATATTCCGGAATTGGTGCACTAAATTGCTTTGTGGAGATTTAGATTAAGTACAAGACTTCCCGATGGATTATTGTTTCATTTAGCTTTTTTTTAAAGCAACAGTTGAGGATAAAATACCTGATTGAACAAATTATACAAGTTATTTTTTAAACAATGATGTACATGTATTAATACTGGTAGCTAAAAATAGACTAGGTTATATATTTTATTTTTAATGGAATGATGAAAGTCGAATGGACTGAATAGATAAATTTAATTGTTTTGAAAGGTAATGATTTAACCAAGATAGATGACTCTAGGTTTGTCATCTTCTTCGATCTCCTTGCTGAAGAGTTCCTTGTCACTTCTCTTCTCCACCTTGATGAACTCGTTGAGTTTACCAACCATCTCGTCCAGTCGGAACTTGAGACCGTCACATTCAACTTGGATCTGTTCCTTGCCTGCATGGGGGTCAAAATAAAAAAAGATGATTATTTTACAAGAGATGAAAAATGTACACTTAGGAATAATATACAAATAATACACATCAGTAAGGGCATTAGTAAGAATTACCCACACAAGCTACCTTTGGAACAGTCTAACATGCCCAAGCGATAGACCAGGGTGTTTGGACTGTTTGTAGGTACCGAGTGTAAGTAATTTTACTAATGCCTGAACAAAATGATGTGTATTATTTGTTTTATAAGATTATTTTTTATTTGTTTTATAAAATAATGTTTTATAACATGATTTTAAAAATGACCGGTCATTACCATTGGATAATGACCGGTCATTATCCAAATTACGCGTTAGGAAAAATAAATGTCTGGTCATGTGTACGCTCTCAACCAATCATTTGGTTAGGACCCACGTCATCATCTTATAGCAATTGATAACTTATATTTATTTCAATGTTATAGGTTTCAGATATCAAATTTCACATATTCCAAGCATATATCCCATATCCCACTTCTTGATCATTTTGAAGTGCTATTTTTTTAGGGCTTCAATATTACACCATATAACAGACACTGATAACATGTAGGGCCGTGCATCTCAGATATAACATTGTTAAATGATGCCTTTAATACAACAGAATTCTCATTATACAACACAACATGCAGGAGAAAAAAAATCTTGAGTTTGCTTACCTTCGATATACTCCTGCTTCTTGACTGGCCTGTCGTCGGTACGCTTCTTGTTGATACCGGTAAACTTCTTAAAGCGATCTACCATGAAGTCAACGATCTCCAGCTGGTTCTTCTTATCCAAATTGGTGGCCTTGACGAGAGCGAAGGACTCGTTGACGATGGCCAGTAACATGTTGATCATGATCCACATGACAATCACAACGTAGAGGAAGAAGAAGAGAGGTCCCAGATACCGATCCACCTCCAACATAGCAACAAAGTCAAACTTGCCTGTCATACAGAAAGGATTGAAGAGTTAAAACTAAGTTACAGGATAGTAAATAACCGGGATGCCAGTTAGAATTGATCAGATGGCCTGAAAATCACCTAGAATGAGCTATTTTGGACACAGAAAAGCTTAAACTATGGTCTGAAAACAACTTGCAAGGGCCTGAAAAAGGGCATCTCAGAAACAAATATTAAAAATCACTCCCCGTGGATGGAAAGCAAGGTAGTCATGCATACATCATCTGTGCAGAGCCAGAAGGGCATCAGTTCTGTGTTAAAGTTCATGGGTTAATTAAAGCTCTTCTGGCTCCAAACAGACAGAATATATTGATTAATTGGAAGTGATACTTCAAGTTCAATTTCAAGTTCACTTTATTCAATTCCAATAAAAGCATAGACACATGATATAAGTCATTTCTTTACAATCTGATAAACAGAAAAACAGATGCACATTTTACTTCATATTTCAACAAAATCAAACCACCCATATCAAAAGCAACCCCTTTTTTTCCCCTTTGTTTCTTCTTCTTTTATGGGGGGGGGGGGGGGGGTTATAGCTGGGAATCCTTTCTAGTTAGCTGCTTGGAATGTCTTTCCATTGACAAGTAAGGTAATTAAAATACAAGTAAACAATGTGTATTTTCAAGCATTTCAATGTCAGTCAGGAAAGATAACTTACCGAGCAGGGTGCCAAAGAGAGACTCTAAGGTTCTGAGGAAAGAGGAGTAATCCCGAAGCTTGTAGAAGACCAGGAAAGCAAACGAACTAAAGCCAAGGTAGATCACGAAAAACATGATCATGAAGAGCGCCAACTCATAACCAAACACCTGTCACAAAAGGTAAACATAAGATATAGATTACTTGCAGGTCTATACATCATGTATACTGTATTGTCAATACTATTATATTCCTATTTCATTTGTGCAGCTTGTGCTTTTCATGGAATTTCATCATCATGGATTGTAATGATGACCATCCTGTATGCACAGCAGAAAAACTATATGACTATAACAAATATTGTTGCTCACAAAATAACTATTATGTCTCTGTTTTATAGGTATATAATTTTTTTTAATCCTTCATTAACTCATCCGTATAAGAACAAGGCCCAAAGCATAAATTCATGTTCTTAGATATCTAGAAAAGCAAGCAATGAATAAATAATAACTGTCATTTAAGTAGCATTGCTAAAATTTGAAACTCTATTTAGCTGCAATGACACTCACAAATAAATGCTGCATTTAAATGGATGTCACATTAAAAAGGGCGGGGTGGGGGTAAATGAGCATACCTGGTGCACATACAATATGCAGCACTAGAGAAAGTACAGTAAAACCTGTCTATAAAGACCACCCAAGGGAGACAAGACAGGTGGTCTTTACAGGCAGGTGGTCTTTATGTACATGTTTCTTTAGTACATGTTTCAATGAGAAACGATTTTCAAGGAAGACATAAAATGTGGTCTTTGTAGACAGGTGGTCTTTCTATACAGGTTGCTTTTCTATACGGGTGGTCACACTGAAGCAGGTTTGAGTGTATATGAGTACTTACCGTGAGAGTATCAGTGAGTAGAAGCATGTTCTTATTGAACCTCAAGAGGCGTATGAACTTGATTGTAGCTATGAAGAGCAGCAGACCCACCATGGTAGTGTAAACCTGTGGTTATATAGACAGAAACAGCAATTAGATGAGAACTGTTACAAGGATGTTCTGATGATAAATGCTTACAAAGGCAAACAGCTGCCCCCTTCTCCTCCTCCTCTTCTTCCTCAATTCTTTTCACCTTTGCATTCTTCCTATTTTCCTTTCACTCATACTTCAAATTTTTCCGAGGCATTCAATTTCGTCCCCTTTGTTGCATTTTTCTCTCATTTTGTATATCTTTCCTGTTACTTACATATGTACTACAAATAACCAGATCTGCTCCTGCTCATTACATATCTTTCCTCATATCTCATACAATCTCTCACTCTATCTCTCTCCCACTCTCTTGCTATGTATACCTCCCTTTTCACCTCTTAGAGGAGGAGGTGCGCCTTACAAGTGACCACTCTTATGTGCTCTCTCGTTTTCTGTTAATTTTAGTGTCTTTTTGTGATCTTTGTGATTCTATATTTACACCAGTGGAAGAAGTTTATGCCAGGAACCTACTGGAAATTTTCTGCGTTGTTATATGCATCAATTGAACAGTTTTTAATGAAAAAGCGATTACAGACTTGGGTGGACAGTGCTTTATAAGCACCGTTTTATTATTATTATTATCATGAGCTTCATGTTTATTGTTATATTGTTACTTAGTTATCAAGAAGTACATGCATTTATCTATTTCTTTTCAAAATTTGTTGTAAAAAAATATAGCTCGTGTTAAAATCTCCTTCTTTGTGCATGTGCTAGTATACACTGTATTTAAAAAAGATATGCATTCAACATTGTTAATTTAATGTGCATTATATAATTCTCTAAATGTTTTCATATTTGCACGTATAAAATTTGTCACGTCCCTTTAGCTGAGCATCGCTTGGGAAGGAAATGTGCGAATCAAAAATGATATTATTGTTCTGATTTCAGCGACTATTCATCTCTCCCTCCGGGCCCATGTACTTACATCATCCCACATAGCGAGGTATTGGAAGTTGTTGAAGGTGGTAATGTTCTCTCTGATGTCGTTCATGAGGCTGTTAGCTTGAAGGAGTCTGTAGAAGTAGGATGTCAGAGCACCAGTAGCAAAACCAATTGAGACCACCTCAATGATATTCCAGGGACTCTATACATCAACAAAAACAAAAAAATCATCAAAACCGTTAAGTTGGTGTACATGTAGCACATTACGTGAATACTTCAATGCTATTTACAATATTTATAGTGGATCTGAAAGCCACTGTTCTATTTGTATTGATTAAATGACCATGAATATTTTGTTCCCAGTTGGAATAAAATTACGACCCTTTTTTGGCAAGTAACCTTTCTATAGAGGTGCTCATTATACACACTGATGGATTGAGGGGGGGGGGGGGGGTAAGCCAGCCTATACCCCCATTAAAAACTTGGTTGAAGATCTTAAAGAAAAAGCAAAAAAAATGTGCCCATCCTTACTGTATTGTGTTCTTCTGCCCCCTTTAAGTTTTACACCCCGAAAGGCACATTAAAAACCTTACAATTTCTGATTTGGGGTGTTTTTTAAAGTAAATTGAAACGTGAAAAGGGAGGTAAGTCAAATATTTGTCATTAATTTTTTTAATCATGCCCCATATGTGCCAACCTTCCAGGAATGCGCTGTGTTTAGTATACTCATACAATGAAGTTTTCTATAAACGAGAGGAATCTAGGGTTCTTTACACGAGTCCGAGGGCCAAAATCTAGGACTTCTTTTTGCAAAACAGGAATGATTGACAGCTACGGTACCCCCTCCCCACTTAATCTGCCCCTGAATATAACTGGAATCCTACCTTGAAGTAAGCCTTCTTCTCTTTCTTGATCTTGCGGAATTCTCTGATGGTGTAATAGACCTGGAGGATCACGAAGATGACCTCACCGGCCATCACCACGTAAGCAAACGGACCGTAGTAATGGTCAAGCGTCATGGTCTGGAACTTGCTATATGGCAATGCACCTGATTAGGAAGTAAGGATCGGAACATTTCATTTCATTTTCAATCTCAATCTATTGTCCAATATTGGAAATTTGATTAGCTCACATTTTACAAAGGTACAAAGAATCAAGACAAGTTTACATACATAATATATATCATATACTTTGACATAGAAATCCTTCAGAATATTGCTATACAGAAGTTTCCTTACATTTCCTTACATTATTATAAACAAAATAAGTGAATTATTTTAAGTGTTCATCATATTCATTCACAGTCCCAATGTGAGATGTGGACAAGTCCAATGTGTTTTTTCCGGTACATTACCAGCCACATAGTCTACTTTTAGTATACCCGATGATTGCATTAACTGATTGGATGATTGGATTAAGCTCTGGATGTCAACTGTAGTCTCAGGACTGCATGGTTTTGACAAGCACAGTCAAGGTACCTCTCCTATCCACCCCTAAAATAACAACTGCAAGGCAAATACTCCAGTGATAACTGCTCTGCAGTCAATATCCTACTCTAAAAAAAATTCTGAATTTCAACACTGGACCAAATAATTATCTAGCCCAAACCCTAAAACTTTCATAAAGCACAGTTGTAATCCTAAACCTAAAACTTTATTTTTGAATGAAGTAAAGCGAGGGGGTGTTTCACAAAGATCCTAAGTCGAACTTAACTCTAAGTTGGACTTAAAAATTATGGAGAGCCATTTGTAGCCTTAAAATAAAATATATTCAAAAGCGAAAATTCAAGTATTTGAGACTTCTTATTAATTCCACATCAAGAAAATGAAATCTCCTTGATAATAGAAAATATGAAAGATTTGTATCAACATATTATGGCTTTTGAAATGGCTTTTACAAAATATAGTCATAGATGCTAATGGAGTAATTGTCACCAGAGGAAATGTTGAGTCATCGCAATAGCAGCATCCTTTCTACACTCACCTCCTGTTGGTGAGAACTCAATCACACAGAGGCTCAGGACATGTATGTTGGTGGTAGGATTGTAGAGTGTAAACTCCATGAATACAGCTCTGGTCTGCTGGTCAATCCACTTGAGATCCTGAAGGTAAGATAACATGGCCATGTCGTTCTCTTGGTTGTTGCCCAACTCGATGGTAAACCCTCCCCCGTAGTAGACGTACTGTTCAGCCATAGCAGGGTACGAGTCAAGCTCAAGCCAGCCTCTGTACTTCCATGGAGAGGCATAGCGATCGCTGTCCCAGTTTGGCAGATTCATAGTGTCTTTGGAATAAGAGGGGGGGGGGGGGGGCAGGGAAGAGCAGTAAATAATTAGACTCAGATATTTGGATGTAAGGCAGAAAGAGATTTTTTTTCCAAATCTAAAGCATTCTCGTCTTATTAAATACAGCTAAACATGCTAAGACAACCATGAAATGAAGTTAGAATTACAAACAATTCACAAGTTTGTGTAAGCAGTAATAAACACAGTTAATAAAAAAGAACTACATGTCAAATGGAAAGTGTTGACATTGACATTAGTGGATCATTACCATCATCATTGTCATCATCACCATCATCATCACCATCATCATCATCATCATCACCATCACCGCCATCATCATCATCATCACCATCATTTTCACCATCATCATCATCATCATCACCATCATCATCATCATCATCACCATCATCATCATCACCATCATCATCATCATCACCATCATCATCATCACCATCATCATAACCATCATCACCATCATCACCATCATAATCATCATCATCACCATCATCATCATCATCATCATCATCCCAACCTCCATTGCCAATACCACAACCACCACAACCACCACCACCACCATCATCATCATCATCACCATCATCATCCTGCTGCTCCTCCTCCTCACTATCATCATCAACGCAGTCAACTTATTTACCACTGTAGTTGACTGGTAGCCATCCTGGATGGTAGCTATCTTCATCATCATCTGCAGCCGAGTATTCATCAGTGCAATGGTTGATGGCTACCTTCATGATCTCTTCAACCTTGCAAGAATCTATCAAATCAAAGACACAAGTCGATAAAAAATCCCTCAGACAATGGAATGACGGTGTTTAAAATGTTCTGTCTTTTCCTTTGTTCATTCATAAAATCCATCCACGTACCATATAATGTTACTTCAATAATCTTAAATTAGATCTTAGTTCTGTAGAAACGTTTCTGGACTTAGCATTAGCGTATATTAATGCATTACTGCATTGCCCACTTTCCAGACATTCAATGCACCTGCTAAAGTCCGCCTAAGTCTGTTAACTTCACTTCTGTAGAAACAGATCAATTACAGTCCGATTGGGATTACTTTCCTAGTCTATTCCAGGTATACAAGAGTACCGAAGTGTGACGTCATACTGGCTAAGTTGCCAAAGTTGCTGGTTCCAAACAATTTTGTGCTAAACAATGGCGTGGTGATTACACCAACCCCAAACACTGACTTTGCCCTGCTCCAGCTCGTTGCTTGAATTATTTTGCGGCAAACCTTGTGCGCAGGTTTTGTTCTTTAGAACCAGTAACCTGGAGGACAAGCGAATACGACATCTGGGGGGTGTTTCACAAAGCCTTTTATCAATGACAAATGACAAAATTCAGTGACAAATCAGCTGATAACCAATCAGAAGCAAGGATTTCAGTAGCTTATAACAAAAACTGTCATTTGTCACTGATGACAAGTTCTGTAAAACAACCTCCAGAACTTTGGTAACTCTGAACCCTTACTTTCTGGGTTTCCTGTAGAAAGAAAGACAGTGAATGTCTCTTACCTGCATACACACGGACTTGTCGGAGACGGGCTGTACCCAGGAGTACATGAGCTCTGTCTGTGATGAACTTCTGCTGGGTGTGAGGCAGGTCAGGCTGGCCGTTGTAATGGTTCCCAGGATACAGGGATGGCACCAAGGTCTCCTCAAGATACTGCCAGGCATTTTCTCTACTAGCAACCTACATCAAAGAATGGATCGATTAAATTAAATTAAATTAAAAATTTAATTAAATTAAAAGTCGAACCTGCTAGTAAAAAACATTTTCCTGTTCACCTTGAGTGATCTTGATACACAGGTTTCATTGTAGTAGAAAAACACACCAAATCTACATACACCAAACATAAATGATGTAATTTTGTAACCATACAAGGCGCATGGTATGGTGCAAAACATAGCTCTGGGAATCATCAAATGCACATTTGATCCAAACTGAAACAAAATTTCAGTTCAAAGTTTACTTAAACTTTCCTGAATGAATGGTGGTAGTTATTTTACCTGACTGCTAAGAAAGCATAAATATTTTTAAGTAAGCAACCAGACAGCCGACGGCTTTAGGTCCTCTCCGAGGGACGTGGTAATGGGGATTAATGCCTTACCCAAGGGCACTAGCGCATCGCCTTGGTTTCGAACCCGGGTCACCGGATTACGAGACCACTGCTCTACCGACTGAGCTATCGCGGCTCCTCGTGAAGTATTTCCAAAATGGCCTCTAGGTGATCTAGAGACTATAAGGTAACCCCCCCCCCCAAAAAAAAGAACCTTGAACAATGCACCATGGCCGTTGCTCTTGTCCAATATGGCGTATTGAGTTGAGAGCTGAGTTTTGATGGTATACTTACATTATCAAGGGTACGAATGCCGTGGTATTGGGCCCCACTGAATGTGTTGGTGATGGACTGAAGGACACCATAGCTGTTCTGATCACGACTTCCATAGGAGATGAGGAACATGATGTACAGGTAGAACATGTACACAGAGATCTCTTTCAAGATATCCATCATTTGTAATTCCTTGAATCTGTAAAAATAGGAGGAAAAGGAGATAACAAACAATCAATGTCATTATCGTTATCATCATACTCATCATCATGGTAATCATCATAATTATCATCATCATCATCATCATAATCATCATCATTATCATCATCATCACCATCATCATCATCATCATCACTGCCATCATCGTCATCACCATCATCATCACCACTGCCATCATCATCATCATCATCATCATCATCATGGTTATCATCATCATCATCATCATCATTATCATCATCATCACCATCATCATCATCATCATTATCATCATCATCACCATCATCATCATCATCATCATAATCATCATCACTACTGCAATATCATCATCATCATCATCATCATGGTTATCATCATCATCATCATCATCATCATCAACATCATCATCATTACAATGACTAAATGTACATGCATCTTCAAGCTCACCTTGTTTCTCTCATCTCCCCCAAGGTATCTTCATCGGGAGGCTTCACAGGACAAGCAAGCTTCTGCTGCTCCAGCTGAGCTAGCTTCTCTGGATCCTTCAGCTCATCCTCCGTCAACCTCTCATGGATGAACTCCTCATCCTCCTTCAGAGCTGGAGACTTGGACTCGTCCTCCTTGTCTGGTTTCTTGATCACCAAGGCAAAGAATGTCGCCAAGCACAGCACCTTGTAGAAGAAGAAAAAGAGAAAACTATTTAATGATCTATTTCATAATCTTCATCTGTAAATCAACAATAAAGGCCCCATATCATTTCATACAAATCTTACTTTGAACTGTAAATATCAACTGTACGTTTTTATGTGCACGTACTCAATAATAGTAATAATAATAAACATACTGATATGTCCATTCATATAGTGCAGCTGCATATACATGTACATGATATGAACTATACAAATATACTCTACTGCTTAGTACCATATATCATATAATTACTTCAGCTGTACCTGAGCTGCCATGATAAAAAGTTTAAGGTTTCAAGAGTTCAAGGTATTTCTTCCTACTGGGTACCCATTTACTTCACCTGGGTGGAGAGCAAATTTATAGATTAAAGTCTTTCCAAAGGCCATTAATATCATGAAGGAGCTCAAAACAGGTTCCATGTGATGCACAGTTTGGGGACTGACATGTATCTGCTAGACCACAGCACTTCTACTTGTACCCATGACAAGAAAGTGGATAATCTAACTAAACAAAAACTAAACCAAAAAAGCTTTTCAGGTGCACCATTTCTAAATTCATTCACACTCATGAAGATAGAGCTCACCTTTATAGGCTGCGAGATGAGAATATCTTGGAAAAGAGAGAAACAGATGGACTTGAGCCATTCAGTGGCCTTCTCTGGTCCAAATCCTCCAGCCACCTCAACGGTCAACCAGAAAGCCACGCCCACTGACCCATAACCGACAATCCAGCCGATCAATGCGCATTGCCATGGTAACGCAAACTTTTCTTTCTTCTTCTTCTTCTCCTCAGTTTTCTTGAGGCCGGCGACAAGATGGAAGCCATCATCTGTCTTGATCCCATTATTTTTCTTTTCTCCATCTTCCTCTGCTTTGGCTTTCTGCAAGGGGTTCAAGAACAGAATAAATGATTACCAAGATGCATCTTATATCCGGCACTACCCACACTAGAAGACAATGCTTCTACGGGAAATGGCTTCATTTAGGGAAAACGAAATGGCAAAAATGTGTATCGGATCCCCACATTACATCTGTCTTTGTAAATTATTACATGAACAACAAGATACAAAACTATTCTACTTATCAAAAGCGACTTATAGTGTAGCATGGTAAGGATCATGATTGAAACATCCTTATGCTAGAATTATGAATTTAATCTCAATTTTTAAAATTAATTTTAACCTTTGCAAAGCAGTAGTAGGTGGTTTTTAACTGCCCAAATTGTTAATGACTAAGTCTGAATCTTTGCATACACTATAATAGTATGGTCTTATTTACCAGGGGTAGCCTAATCAGTATCAATACTGATCTTTCTCTGAGCCCTGCAATTATTACTACCTCAAAATTGCCTTTTAACAATTTAATACACCTAAGCCCCGTCTAAATAAAGAGTTGATATTAATCACAACTTGTTTGCAATTGCTACCATGCATAATGCTACCATGCATAATGTTTTACGTGTAATTTTACTTTCTCACTGATGTATACCTTGTAAAAGAAACTGCAATTCGGCTCTCGGGCCGCGAATGTTTTTTAATGAAATAAACCATTTTAAATAAATAAAAATAAATAAATTGATATCAATCACAGCTATGTACATAAGAGACAGGCGACTGCAAACTTGTGATTGATTGAAGGACTTGAGATTGATTTGGATCAATCGCAACTGTTTATAAGACGGGCCCTGGATTGAGAGGGGGAAAAAGCAGGTTAGACATCTTTCCCAATGAAGTAAGCACCTACACATGCAACTATGATGGAACCCAGGGGCTCTCAAAAATGAGAGTGAGTAACGGAAATAGCCTTCATCAATATACTACAAGGCTGCCGTTTCCCTGTATCATCTATCCCTCCCTCCTTCATTCAGTGCATACCTCTTCTTCCTCCTTGTCTTTGTTATCCTCCTGGAATCGGATGGTGCGACTCCTGGCCGACTTGAGCAATCTCTTAGAATCATCTCCCGTGTTGAGGAAGTCAAGCTGTCTTCCTAACTCATCCTCCGCTTTGTCATCCATTTTGTCTCTCTTATCCTGCTCAATTTCTTCTTGAGTTTTCTGGGGTCTTCAACAACTACAGAAAAAACATAAGCATGAACGCTTTTTAGACTACTTCTTCAGGGTTAGTTCTACCATCACTATAAGCAGCATCATCATCATCATTATTATCACCATCTACATCATCATCACCATCTTCACCCTCCTCCTCCTCCTCTTTCTCTTTGTCTTCGTCTTTGTCGTCTTCTTCTTCTTCTTCTTCTTTTTCTTCTCCTTCTCCTTCTTCTTCTCCTCCTCTCCTCTCCACTCCTCTCCTCTCTCCTTCTTCTTCTTCTTCTTCTTCTTCTTCTTCTTCTTCTTCTTCTTCTTCTCCTCCTCCTCCTCCTCCTCCTCCTCCTCCTTCTCCTTCTCCTCCTCCTCCTCCTCCTCCTCCTTCATGTTCTTATTCTTCCTCCTCATCATCTTCCTCTTCCCCATACCCCTCCTCTTCCTCCCCTCCTCCTCCTTCTTCTTCTTCATCTTCTTATTCTTCCTCCTCATCATCTTCCTCTTCCCCAAACCCCTTCTCTTCTCCTCCTCTTCCTCCTCACTCTTCACTAGAATCTTACCTGGCTTCCTCTTTCTCCTCCACCACCAGTTAATCTGATCTGGAGGAGGCTTAGAGAGGCGGAACATCTGCACCACGATGAGATTAGCAGGAACACCATGAGGGAGCTGATCACACCCACTGTAATCTCAGCAATAGAGATTGTGATAGGACCAACAGCAATGCCACCACCTACAAGAAACAACAGAAAAACAAACAAAGCTTGATTCGTCTCTTTCCATTAAAAATACAACAATGACGTTCCATCTTGGATTGCTCTTAGTAAACTCTCTTAAAATGTGTGATATCATAATTATTAAAATACCTGAGTTTGTTTTATGTAAACAAATGATAGAGCTATTCAACATATGCAACCTTAGACATTTCCCCCAAAGTTGACAATTTTTTTTATGGTAATTCAAGCATCCTACATGTAGCAGAGAAGTCAACCTCTTGACAAAAATAAGACGGAGTATCCTTTAAAAAAAAATTAAAAAATTAAAAAAATAAAAAAAAATAATAATAATAAATCAGAATTTGTTGTTGTTGTTGAAAAAAAGATGAAAAATCACATATAAGATTTTAAGATCGTATTTCACTCTTATTATTGTACTAAATACAATTAAATCGTATTGCTTGGCATCTCTGATGTAGGACAGGAATGAGTCTATACCTGAGCCACTGGTCACGTCAATGCCATAGAAGAAGATGTTGGCCATCATGCTTGAGAAGAGAAGCGAGAGACAGCACAAGGCACGTTGGCAGCGCGTGAAGGTGCTACGGGCAGGACGAGCAAACACTGAGAACCATAGATGACCATCGGTGAGGTTACGACGGGTCTTGCTGTAGAACAGGTAACCAAAACCAGTCAGCTCGCTCTTTCCTGCGATGGGGATCACACGCTCAATCTGAAAGAAGATAATCATGTGGATTGGGTGAAGAAAGTGTGATGTACCGAAATAAAAGCATTGATTAGGTTTACAAAGGTTGCTGATAAAGGACACAATTGCCTTAAGCTCATATGGCACCTATATCACAAAGTCCGACACACATCTGAAAGGCCAAGTCGATATCTACGTAAGAAAGATTAAAACCGTTGCCCAAATGGATTGAAGCAGGTTTACAGAATTCTTAATTCAGGACCTTTCTCAGTAACCACCTTTGGATGACATGGTTTGAATCCCTGTTACTGCACTAACATCCTTTGGTAATACATTAATCTACATTTGCTACTCTCCACCCAGGTGAAGTAAAATGGGTAATGCTTTAGTCAACTCACCTGCCCGTCATCTTCCTCCACAGCTAGCCAGCGATCACACATGAAGAAGTACATCTTACTGGTCTCTAGATCCTTGATGACCAGTCTACTCAGGGCCCAGGACGGATACTTGCCGCTGTTGTCATGCCAGATACGCAGATGCAATAGGTTACCAAGGTGACGGGGTGCAGACATGATGAAGGAATCAATGCCTCCTCGCTGGAAGGTACGTCGTTTGGGATCGATGAGGAGGCGGGGTCGAGACTCCTCGGCCTCACCGGTTATAATCAGGGACACCTTGGCGGTGGTAGCTGGGAATAAATGAAATTCAGTCACATTCATATATTAGTGAGCCTCACATGTCTACAAACTTTAAACTACATATACATGTACATGAACATGGCTTTTTGCAACAATCAGGATCTGAGGCTACATGTAATTTTAAAATGTGCTGATGTTAAATGTCTATGCCTGCTTCCCCTGATTTCTCTAGAGTCAAAAGAAGTGTTTTGGCCATCTTGCGGTTTCGCAAAAAAAAGAAGATTTTGCTTCAAAAAAATTGGAACAAGTATATTTTCCTATTTTGATAGAAATCAGTGCTAATGTTAATACTTACAAGCTCCAGAGCGCATTCCGGTGAAGACTGTAATTTCATAGCTGTAATGATCTCTAGGGTCATTATCTATCAGTGGAGTGGCACCAGCCTGTAAGATAAATGATCGAAAAGATGAAAATACAGATCAGACCGAGTCTTAAATCATGAGACTACCGGTAGATATTTTCCTAAGCCTATACAGGCCCCTGTTTCATAGAACGTATTATCAATAGCAAAATAATGCTAAATTTCTATGACAAATTTTCACTCAGCCAATCAAATGCCATGATTTCCATAGCTTATAACAGTTACTGTAACTTGTTATCGACAAAATGTTTTGTGAAACAGGCTCAGATATTCTTTTACAATGAGATGTATCTCAGATTTTATTGCATGCTACATATAAAATGATCCTTGATGGGGAATGCTTCTCACTGATGAAGATAGAGCAGAAGAAAAAGCATTTGTGTACTAAAGTTGGATGGAGAGCGTAATACTTGTAGATATGTGTCCAAAATGATTAAATTCAAAGGACTGCAACAACCTACATGAAAATTTGCAATTAGATAAATGACTTTAAAAATAAATGAAATGATAGAAAGGTTTTCAAATATTCATTGTGAGGTACAATAACAAACTTGAGTGCCTATACATACTATGACCTCTGAATGCGAACATATGATTCATACGATACAATATTAACCTACATGTATTAAGGATGATTTCATTTTCATTCAATAGGCCTTTTCAGTGGGTTTCTCCCAAAGGTGATCTTGGCCTTGGTATTCAACAAATATGGTATAGACAATTGGCACAGAGTTGAACTCATGAACTTTAGAACCACACTAGAAAATTTTAAAACAAAATTTCACGACAAATTCAGAAAAAATCATGGAATTTCTTATTCTACGAGAGAGTAAGGCAGCTAATGTTGCAAGGTATCTGACGAGATATAGTTATGTGAATTTACCTTGACCAAATCTCTCTGGTCTTTCTTGTAAGCCCAGAGCACGACGGTGAGATAGACTGCAAACATGCACACCATGAAGACAAAGACAACTGGATTCTCATTGAGCTTAGAAAAGGCTGACTGTGACAGGTCAATGGAGTTCATAGGAACCTCGAAGCCTCCACCGAAGGCGGTCAAGTGAGTGCAGAAACACTGGGTATTCAGTAACCGAGAATTCGGTCCAACCTAGAACAACAAACCAGACGGCACAAAAATAAAGTTATTTCATTCAGAAATAATAAATCATGTAAAAATTGGAGGAATTAAGGCAATGTACTTTCATCTTCATAATACCAGTTATTGATATTGGCTTTGCTTTCACTTTTCATAAAGTGGCCTGCAAATAAAATACTTAAGTCCAATAATCTGATCATTTCATACTTATATCACAATTTAAGCTTACGCTCGACCTAGTAGTAGTAAGCTTATGCCCTACATTATTAGTGTGCTAACTATCACTGGCAGATCTCTACTTGTTCCCTTCACATTGTAGGACTGTAAAATATGATAAGACCAACTTTGTTAAACTACACATAGTGCTTGTAACATCTACCATAAATTATGATAATTTAAACAAATTTTATGATGAGAATTCCTCAAACGTAAATCCAATTGAGCAGCATCTTACTTTCCACAGACAGGAAAAGGAACTCTTAAGAAACACACCACACATCTTCTTTAAAGGTAAAGACCAGTTATGGTCATGCGATTGCATTGTAAAGAAACGTTGTGGAATCGATTAAGAAAAGGTTGATCATCTAGCATCTAGCATCTGCAAGGTTCTGGAATCATCAAATGATAAGAAATTTGGCTCATTCTTCGTAAAGTTACAAGCACTATACACAGAAAGATGTATATGGGACTACCCTATATCTCTCACAGACCATGAGAGAAACAAATTTACCAAATATATGAATTAGTAGGCGGTTTCCCGGCAATTTTTTTATCATCATGTATTAGTCAAAACATATTCTTTCACATGATTGGTAATGAGAGCTTCCATTTCATTTTTTGAAATTGGGGCGTTTCCAATACTGGTCTTTACCTTTAACCTATTACAAGATCATTCCACATTTTGTGATTTGGCTCCATAACTTTTGTTTCACAGCCCTAAGATAGAAGTATTATGAGACTCACCTCACAGCCATCAGTGCCCCAATCATCAGTCTCCTCATCGTAGAACTGACACTTGGAGGTGAAAGGTCGGATACGGTAATGGACAGGCCAGAACGCTGTGTCGATATCAGCATCAGATCCCAGGTATTCACTAATCGAACTCTCATTGGCTCCACCGATCGATTTGACACCGACGTAGACTTCAGCCATGGATCCATTGAAGTAACTATGATTCAAACATAACAACATTGTCATGACATTGAGTTCACAAGTACTCAGCAGAAGTTATCTTCGAGACAACATTAACAAGTATCTTTACAAATATGATCAAAATTAGTCAATGAGTCAAACTTAAAATGAACTTTGTTGGAGCTGCATCCTAGTACCTAACCTACATGCATATACAGTAAAGGGGATGGCAGTTGTGGCAGCAAATATCACTCTAATCAAAGCAACAGTGTTATGACATAAGGAGATTGACAGCTATACTTTACATGTGTACTTGATGGCATTATTACATTAGTTAATTTACAACACTGTATTGGCATTAATACATCATCAGGTACACGTATAGCAATTGAAATATAGGCATAAATATCCTGAAAACACCAGATATGAAATAAATATTCTGTTCAATAAAGTATGATAGGGGGAGGGGTATATTGCATGTGAACATTACTGTTTGAAATCAACTATTCAGATAAACAACCTCTCTAGACGCACGACTTCTGGGTATAATATATCTGTAAAGCGCTTAGACACATCATTGTATCGGTGTATTGGGCGCTATATAAAAGCGGAATATTATTATTATTACAAAATACAAACCTTCTCACCATGCATACATCACTGAGAGTAAAATGCAACAATGAACAAAAAGCCAGAATCAAACAATGCAAAATGTGTTGTTTCTATAAACTTGGATAGCTACCTGTCTATGATAGTATTACTGAGGAAGCACACATCAGGGTCGGGATAATCCAGCTCTCCACACTCTGTCCCGTTACCAAGATATGGGATTGGGTGCGGCAGGGTGCAGTTGAAATCATAGATATCAATAGAGGGCGGTCTTCCCATCCTGATGAAGAGCTGTAGGGTCACATTGTCTGCCTTGGTTCCGTTCCAGTTCAAAGGGATGGCTTCGATGTGCAGAGCAGCATGTCCAGGGGCCACTAGAAAGACAGAAATCAAATTTCAATCCAATTTTAAATCGGTAATCTAACATATCATTATCTCCCCCCTTTTTTTTGTGTTTGGTTTTTAAAAAGAAGAAGAAATATACATTTAAGTCCCACCGCGGCACTAATGTCCTTTGGCAAGACATTGATCTACATTTGCCACTCTCCACCCAGGTGTTAAATGGGTACCCGGTAGGATGCGAAAGCTAATGTGCTTAGATTAGCAAGTGTACGCTTGTAAAAATGATGCCTGGTTGGAATGCTCCCCAGGGAGTGGAGAATGTGCATACATTGTGTGTGGGGTAAGCCTGAATCCGATGACCGGGGTAATAATATATATATCTGTAAAGCACTTTGATAGGGCCCTCCTGAAAAGCGCCATATAAGAAATAGTTATTATTATTGTTATTATTATATACTCACATATTATGTGAGCGTATATACGTAAATTTGAATTCAAAACAAATTTGTTATAGTTTTCGGCAATAACGGTAATAAACTGACTGACTTGCCTAAATTAAATAACAACAACAACAATGCAGGCTTCTGGAATAGTGTTCCACAGCTTATTCAATTGTCTCTTAACCCTCGTTCAGATATGATGCAGTTAACTGCCGCAAAAAAGCTGCCACATTTTTTAAAAATCTGAATGAATGGCAATTGCATGTAATAAAGGTCACTGAGCTGTGTTCCTGTAAGACAAAGAAATGTGTAGCATACAACTTAAAGTTGATCTTAGTCTTTGTGGAACACCCACCCTGAATATGACAGCAGAGCATTATAAAGACGACTTACTAAGAACATGAGAGAGCATCCTCTCATTCCTGGGCTTGGTCACATTGAAGATAGTGACCAGACTATTGACATCAATCTGGTCTTCATCTCTCTGGATCCAGACCTCAATAGGTTCAGCTAGGTCTCGGATCTCCAGCTTCCCTCCTGTAGCGTTCGTGAAGGACAGGGCTGCGGTCTCACCCTGGACCGTGTTGGAATTGTTGGACCAGGTCTTGGAGTTGGTCTTCTCCATCAGTGACTATATTGGGAAAATTGGTGGGGAAAAAATGAAAAAGATGATCAAACTTATCAGGTAAAATAATCATGTTTCATTCGATTTGTTAAATTTCTTATTAATTCACACCTCACTATACATCTTTTACATAATCATTCCTTTATTGTAGAGTAAACGGACATCTTAAAAACAAATGAACATGTCTTAAACAACCATGATAATAAAATACCTGGTTTATGTATATACCTATTATGATACTATCTTTTATCTAAACATCAATACCTTTTGTTTGACTTCATATGAAAATCATTCTCTTCTTTACGTATGTTTTTACTTCAACTTTTCTCTCCTCTCTTCCCATGTTTTTGTTTAATTGACGTTGAAGTAGCAAACTGAAAAGCACAAACTTTGAAGCAAGTAACAATATTATGCACTCCATTCTGTTACAAGTAATTTCCAGTTGAACAAATCATGAATTTAAAATCCATGCAAATAGTCTGTAAGTCATAGTTAAGTATTATTATTTTAAAAGTATTAATTGCAAAAGTAAATTCATTATTTTTGTTTGTTTTGTTTTTGTAACTTTACTTGTACTTTACTTGGTTTAAGGGGTTAGGCTTGATTAGCACATGTGCCATTAGGTGGCCCCGCAATTTACCAACCAATAGTTTCTCTTCTTGTATATGTAAATATCATTGCATGAAATGTATTGCTGTAATCATGTCTTTTTAGGTGGTTTACTGCATTGTGTGAACTAGGCTAAAATTCTTACCTGAGCGTCCACAGCTGAGGCGGTGCCGTTCCCACTGCCAAACAGGGTGGCAGCCATCGGGAGCTTGAATCCAGATCCACATTGTGCTCCATATTGCTCTGAGGGGGAGGGAGAGATGAGAGAGAGAGAGAGAGAGAGAGATGGGAGAGAGAAAGAGAGACGAGATGGGAGAGAGAGATGAGAAAGAGAGAGAGAGAGATGAGAAAAAGATGAGAGATGAGAGAGAGAGATGAGAAGAGAGAGAGAAGAAAAAAAACCCACATACATTAAAAATCACATTACTGTTGTCCTATAAGCAACCATCAAATATCAACCTATGATTTGCATACATTAAAAATAATAACAAAGTTTAACAAATGATGCCTGTGGATAGACACTGAAATTATATGCCAGTGGAGCCCCACCATATTCAATACAACATAAAACCTGAAAACAGGCATGCCAGTATTATAATTGTAATGCATAGCAAACAAAGTAGCAAAGATAATATGTATAACAATCATCTCCACATTATGACATACATGGCACTGCCCCCCCCCCCCCCCCCCCCCCCCCCCCGGACATAAGCCACATCTGATTCCACAAAACATCAAATTACATGAAACAGCACTTTGGTTCAGATTCAGATACTTCCATGCGCTATATTTCAAAGTTTCAAAGGAAAACTGTAATGTCATAAAACAGATATGTAAGATGTAGGTAATGAGAATGGCTTACTGTTATCCATGTTGGCAGTGAAGGCCTTGTCCATTGTGATGTTGACCGCAGGAGAAGCTATGGCCACAGGAGCTTGACCGGTCACCATACCTCCATTGATGGTGCCCATCATGTTATCTACAACGCTATTCATCTGAGAGCTCATATCTCGACTCTGTAAGGATGATAAAGAGAGAGAATATATACATTCAAAACTAAGTTGATGGAGACCTGTATAGAAAGACCACTTATTTTCTCATTGTTACATAAATTACAAGAAACCTTTATGTAAAGATCACCTGCCTATATAGACCACTTTTCTGTATCCCTTGAGTAGTATTTCTATACTGGCTTCACTATATAATTGGACAAAATTTTTAATTTCAATAGTTAACTCATGAAAATCCCTTTGTCCAACCCTGATTCTAAGAATCTCATATAAACTTTAGCAATGTGATTGTACACAGATACAGAAAAGATGGATAAGATAAGAAATGGAAGAACGAAAGAAGATATGATTGCCTTAGGTTCCATACTTTGTTTCTATAGGAGGTACAGAGCCTGTGGAATGTTTCAGGCCTTTCAGGGAGTTACAGAATGGGAGGTTTAGGCCGCTACGGAGCATACGGTCACACAATGATAGCCTTACCATGTGGATAGTTGCAATTACTAGCAACAAAACAGGCATAGTTCTATCTTAAACATGACATTGCTATCAATAAGCCATAAACATATATCCTAGTTACACTGACAAGACCAACATCCGATCGATACGATGACACATCCTTTTCTCCTGCGACAATTGCTCCAGGCTTCATTTCTTCAAAGTTATAAGGTTAGGGTTAGGAATTGGGTTAGGGATAGCGCTGAAGCTAAGAATTCAGTTGGTGTAGGAAATTGTCGCAGTGCCCATATGTTTATGTGTTGATGGAAGCCTTTAATGGCAAGTTTTATACTATGAAAATATTAGTCGGCTATGTTTAGCCTGGGGTTCTAATAAACAAGGTGACTGATTTTTAAAGGGATCTGGTAACTTTGTCTTAGATCCTTTTAAAAAATCCTTGATTATGCTCATGCTGCAATGATGATTATAAACCTTTAGGTCAGTCAGGAACTCCATGACTTTTACAAGCCGATCGCCTGTCCGAATATCAAGATATTTATGATTGAAAATCAAAATCAAATTTTGCGTTTGCCAAACGGTTTTCATAATACTACAGTCTATTGGGGAAAAAAAGTATGGTAAAACCGGTCACTAACAAGTTTTTATGAGGCACTTCTTGATCATTTTGAAGCGCAATTTTTTTAGGGCTTCACTGTAACACCATATCACAGACACTGATAAGACGTAGGGCCGTGCATCTCAGATTTAACATTGTTAAACGATCCCTTTAAGTCTAAATCTGATGTGTTGAATTCCTTTTTATTGGCCTGGTGGCAGCGGTGGGATATTTGTCACAGGAGCAAGTGTGGTACAAACGAGCGATACCAGTCCAGACTCTTACCAGTTGGTTCATGGCTTCTACTTCAGCCGCCGCAGCAAAAGCTTGTGCCTCCAGATCAGATGAGTCAGAGGAGTAATAATCGGCCTCCATGTCATCCAGATCAGGCATACCGGTGGCATACAGGACGTCAAGCTGACTGGTGACAGCGGATGCTGCAGCTTTAGTTCTCGCTACTTTAGCCTGGGCTCCACTCATAGCATTACCTGTGGAGAGGGATTGACAGCAGAAGTACAATGATTTGAGACTCTTTTGTGTCCCTCCAGGGTTGGCCCAAGATTTTTGAATGGGAGGTGGGAGGAGAGAAGATTTACATAGTTGTGTGAATAAATATTTACCAACTTAATAGTGTAATTATCTATGAATTTTACAAATCATAATCATACTAATGCAGCTACTACTACTACTACCACCACTAAATAATCATGATAATACTCCGTTTTCGTATATTCATCTATCGATGGTCTCTTTGCACTTCCAAAGAGCGTGGATTATTACCCTGGCTCAGCCTAGCTGTCCTAAAAAAGGTACTGAAGCTTCAATGAATCAATTCCTACAGTTACGTTGAGCGAGTGTAACATGTAATGATTAATGTCTTGCTGCAGGACTTGAGTGCTGTGGCAGGGATTTGAACCCTGCACCTTGTGATCTATAGTCTGATGACTTATCCACTAGACCATAACACCTCTACTCTACCTTTACAATCATAATGATATTAGTGTCATAATGTGAATAAATGTTTACTTATCATAATAGCATTAATGTAATAAGTATCATAATGATATTAGTGTCATTAAAATGTGAATAAATGTTTACTGATCATAATAGCATTAATGTAATAAGTGAAAAATATTTACCAATCATATTGAGGATGCCATTACTACTTTCCTCCACTTCATCAGCCCCAGATTCATCAGATTTCTCAGATAATAGACCCATGAACTGAGTGCTTGTCGCCAGAGTGTCTTGCTGAAAATCAAATGATTAAAAAAATTTAAAAATCAGTTACAGACATTGAAATTCACAGAAATCACAAAAAGGAGGAACTGGTGGCAGAAAAAGTGGAGTAAATATGAGGGTCATTATTATGAATAGCGACCCTCATCTCACATTATGAATAGCGGTTCTTATGAATAACGGTCCTTATGTCTTTATGATTTTTTTTGTTTTGCGAGTGAACATGAATTTTATTTTCTTCCAGTGAACATAAAATTGCAGTGAACATAATTTTTTTTTTCAGTGGCATTAATGGGCTTAACGCTTTCGTATGAGACAATAGCTAGAATAAACAAAATATTCAATACTTTCAAAATCGAGACATGAAATTAGATTTGACTTACAGCTGCAGAGGTAGAGACTTCTCCTGTAGAGGAGGTTGCTGTTACCATGGCAGATGAGAGTTGCTTCATCGCTCCTACTGTGTTTGGTATGGCCAGAGACATCGCTACTACCATGCTATCTCGCATCTGTATTAAGAAGAATAAATATCAGTGACATACAGATTGAAAGTACATTGTAGTTCTCTTTTAAGGTGTTTCCAGGGGTGATAGTGAGCACTAAAAAAAAATTAAATTGTTTTTTTTCTCAACCAGGCCCCCCCCCCCCTTGACTAAAAAAATGTTATCTTACAACATTCCCCCTCCCCTTTTGAGTGAGAAAATTGGGAAAAATCAGGAGGAAAAAAATCAGGGAAAAATTTGGAGAAAAAGAAATTCGGGAAACCGATTTAAATCGGGTAATTATCAGACCTGTGTTTTTCATTGCTGTTTTTAAATAAAAAGCTCCATGGGTTTCTTAATAATCTGCACGGTGCTATGGAACGTTAATAACGTTTGTTTAAAATTCATAAAAAATGCAATGTTTCTGTCCATCATTAACAAATTAAAACAGTTTTTTTCTTTTTACTTTTTCATAAAATTAAGATATTTCCTCACCCATGGGTACATAATAACCCTTCCATCTAATAAATTATTATCTGATGCTGATAGGTGTGATACCCAAATCTTACTATTTACTTTGAGCAAAGTCATCTCAAACTATGTTTTCAAAAATAAAAAAGGAGCTGACATACTGTACTACAAATAATAAACCGTATGCAAAAATGATGAATAATAGAGGATTGACGATTGACTTAAAGATAAACTTGAGTTCTGGTAAAAAAGAAACTAAATTCTCACAGAATCAAACAAAACTTACACTGAATGTTCAAGATTACAAATAAATGTCATTTGCCAAACAATTTTGGTAGAAAATGTATACCGGTAATGGCTGAGTAATGAGCATAGAAAGATAAGGATATCAAGGTGTTGGGCCCCGAAACCATTTGTATAGTCCCATGTACATCTTCCCGTGTACAGTGCTTGTTACTTTACCAAGACTGGGCCAAATTTATTATGATTTTGATGACCCCAGAACCTTGCAGTACACACCAATACTTACATGCTACATGATCAACTTTTTCTGATCCATTCCACACCTTTTCTTTCACAATGCAATCGCATGACCAGAACTCAACTTTATCTTTAATATGATTAGGCTGAAGGCCAGTTGAAAAGTAAATTATGGAGAGAAGATACTCACCCCTTGTCTCTGTTCAGACTCCTGCTGTGCTTGGGAATCCAGTTCAGTCTGGGCTGCTGCTTCCGCTGCTTCCTGCTCCTCAGGTGTCATATCACCAACATCTAGGAAGCAGCGAAATGATAATAATAGCAGGAATAATATATGAGATTTGTAAGGGGCCAAAGCCACTTGGAATCAAATGTTCAAGGTGCACTTGTGAAACAAATACAACAAAAAGAGATCATATAAAAGCATCTGAATCATAAATGAGGGAACAGAGGTATGGAGAGAACATACAAAAATGACAGAACAATTACTTATGCGCTGAATAAAACAGATACGTTTCAAGATTATTTTTAAACTCTTTAACTGATCTGCTACTAGTATTACAAATCTTTTGAGGGAGAACATTCCACAGCAAACCACAGCAAAGGTTTTATTTCCCCGCACTTAGCATTGAGCTTAGAAATAACAAAGCATCCAGAGTTTGGGGAGCTAAAGATCTAGACGGAATATAGTGATTTATTAAAGTAATATTAACTGTGGAGCAGAGCCATGGACACAATGAAATAAAAGCAAAATAATCTTGAAAACAAATATACAACATATAACTTGCAGAAGTTTCATTCAATGAATGTCAATAAGGTAAAGATGACGTTGGAAAGAAATATAGCAGGAGTTCATTTTACACATTAAAAAAAATGCAGAGGATTTTTTTTTCCGGCAGTTAACCACCCCATATCTGAACAAGCTTTTACAGGTAACCTCACAAACATGTACATGTATGGTCAGATAGAGAGTTATACAAACCTGCACCAAAGGTTGTCATGGCAACTGTATATGCGCTTCTTCTCCGCAGAGGGCTCTCAGTACTGAAAGTCGGCATCTATCAAAACAGTTGGGACACTTTTATAATATTTCGTAATAGACAAATTTATATATCAAAATTGTCAACAAAGATGATTAATATGGTACTAAAAGAAAATAAATATTAATCCTACTTCAGAAACCTACTGGAGATAAAAATATGAAATAAATGAAGAAGATTTTTTGATTTATATATGAATTACCTTTTAGAATTATTCCTTATACAAAAACTAGATTTTCCAATATATGATAAATACATGATGCTTACTGGTAAATGCCACAAAGCTGAAAAAATGAAATTAATAGACAATGAAATGTGTTTTTTTTTGCAAACAAGAGCCAGAAACGATTGACCACCTGTTTGAGAATGTTTATATACACAAGATTACTTGAACAAATTTCTAAGATGGTGGCATACTAGCTTTAATAAAGAAATTTTTCAATTGAAAGACGAGAAGATCTTATTTGGGATACAAGACAAACAGCATGTTCTATTCAATCATTGTATTATTATTGCAAAGAAAACGTTATATTTATGTAGATCTCTTGTGATACTCCCTTCTTTTAATTAATTTCTTATCAAATTAAATCAAAGGTAACTTACAGAAAATATATATTTGTTACAAGGATAGATCCATGCATAAATTACGCAAAAAATGGAATGTGCTGGAATTAGGATGATATAGTAACTTTTGTTTTTTATCCATAATCTTGATTTATACTCATACTACATGTATATTTATCATCATATTTGAAATACATGTGTTTCAGTTTAATTTGTATTATGTACAAGATATTTTAACTGAATAAAAAAAAGACTTCAAATTAAACATAAGAAAATGTACGTACCTCCGTGGATGTTGATGCTGAGGGTGTAGAAGCAGCAACGTTGAGCATACCAGAGCAAGCTGCGATAATGTTGGCTGCGGTGGAGGTATCCCCGTTAGCAATGGCCGCTGACATGACGCCATCATCACCCGTCATATTCTGCATCATCTCCATCTGTTCTGCATTACTCACACTCGGAGGACGAACCTATACAAAATACAAAGAATATACTGTAACTGTATCGCCTCATTTTGGGAGAGCTCTTGAATGAGGAGCGACTTACCGTATCTGTGCAATGTATCTCTTGGAGTGACTGATGATGTTAGTGCAAAAACTGTCATTGTTCTGTTTTCTTATCATAAAAACACATCATATCATAACAATTATCATCTTTTCTTGCATGAGAGGATCGATACTGTGAAGCTCTGCTGTTCTTGGTTTACCGTCAGTATTGAAATGGAAGATGCTGGCTAATATATGAAGAGATTAATTCCAAAAGGAGCTAAATCCAATTTTGATGAAATTGAGTTATTGATATCAGAACATTGTTTACTTCAGTACCTGTCTTTTAAAAAGTATTTACTTAAATTTGGGAGCAATTATGAAAAAATGTGCCCTCTAATATCACTTTTCAATAGACGCCTACCGTATACAAAATCTGGTAAACGAATTCTTTTTTCTCTCAAGTTACAAAAAATGGATTTAGCTCCTTTTGGAATTACACTCTTCATATACATGAAGCATAAGGTAAACAATCTTTAAAATATGGGGTACAAGAATGAATGATGATTAAGTACTCTTAATACGACCAGAAAGTCTTCTGTAGATTTTTTTTTTCACTTTGAATATAAAACTTAACCCTGTTACCGTCTTACCTCTACTGTCAAGAGCAAATCAGAAAAGGATCCTATGTAGTCCGTGACCCGAACCAGTAAGAACACCTGGAAGTTGTTCTCTTCGTAGCCTTGAGGAAACACTGTAGGCGTGTCCATAAATGCTCTCTCCCCTGTCAAAATGTCAAATAAACAATAACACTTAATTTAAGAACAGTAGAACTTTGAGCACATTCCCTATTTTCAATTATGATTCAATTTGAATATGCATCTAGACAATTAGTAGAACTTCCTGCATAGAATATATAGATGTATGCTATTCTCACCCCTAAATTAAACTACAATTGATATAATCTCATTACGATAGGTAATATTGATGAAATACTTTAATAATGCTTTCAATTCAATCCCTGCAATAGTGATCCCAATATTTTTTAAAAACAGTACAGCTTTCTATCCAAATCTTCAAGCTAGAATTATTTTCAAAACCATGTTCATTCTTTAACTGTTACAAAGCTAACAAGTTTATAATTATCTCTAATATTTTGTAGACAAATTCATACTCTAAGGTTCTCTTTTTATCATCTATCTAGATACAGGGTTTCATGTGGGATCACGTTTTAATTATAAGTGCAAAATCTTCCTGCTCTTGATCCAAATACAATTCCAAGATTCTTCTTCCTTAATTAAACTCTCTTGCTCCGTCGGCATCCTCATCCTTTCAATTACTTTATCCCACTTTAGCTGTTATGACTTTAGTTTACCATTACTGTAACTAACTATGATTACGATTTTTTTTTTTTTGTAAAATGATCTCTGTAAATTTTTACCAGCGAAAAACAAATTTCTGAATGGACAATAAATACTCAATTTCATTTTCATAATGTTTAAAAGAGGATTAATTTAAGGCATGTATCCAGAACATCCATGCAAATATATAAAAATCTCTTGGTATCAATATGATTTAAAGAAAATTGTTTGGTGTACCGTTGTATAGCCAGGTCCAAGATTCTGACTCCTGTAGCCTTTGGGCGTAGCGATAGTTGAGAGGCATGTCTGGATCGGTCCAGTCCTGACATTCGATGTTGAATTCGGTTTCCAGGGCTGTACCATTGGGAGGTACAGCAGAGCAGTTACCAACAATCGGTCGCTCATTAGTGATGAAATCATACGAGGCCAGACCTGTTTGGAAAGTAATGAAGTCAGAGATGAATGCTATCCTGACACAATAACTGCATGGCATTGCATAAGAATATTTTAAAATGATATTCAAGGATATGTTGTGAAAATTATAATTGGGATTAAAATAATGAAATGAGGTTTAATATTAAGCTTTGATCAGCAAGGTAATACATAATACATAAGAGGCAAATTTCTTTATAAAATGAAACATATATTTATATATAATGCCTAGTTTCATGCCTCATTTTTGTGTGTTCTGAAAACGGACCCAGAAAACTACAGTAGGTAAAACCAAATAGACCAAAATCGATGTAGGGTTATAAGGACATGACTGTCATTATAATATTTGGAATAGATCACATGGGAGTACATGAATATGTATTGAATGGTTGTTTGGTGAAAAATCAGTTCAGTATCATTCCAAAGTCAAAGCAATGAACATTCTACTGTACTGCAAATTTGGAAGACAATATTGGGACAAGGACAATTCTACATGACCTTACCATAGTTCTGTAGCGAAGGCGTTCTGGCAGCATAGACTCGTATTCTGTAGGTAGACTGGTCCTCAAAGGGACCTGCATCAATAGCGATGTTTGTGTTGGAATCTCCTGTACCAGCGAACTGAAGCCATTGAGTCTTAGGAACGATGACAAACTCATTTTCAAGCAACACAGGATTGTATACTTGCTTGAAGATCTCCCATCTATTAAAACAGGGAAAAAAAATCACATTAGTAATAGTGACAACATAGTATAATAACGATTATAATAATAGGCATTTTTATTGCGCCATCTATCTAGAACTTCTATTTCAAGGTGTACAAGGAAAAATAGATAAGAAATAAGAGTTCGAATAAGTGCCATATTCTTGTCAAGCATTGCTAAAAAGGTGTGATTTCAACTTGGACTTGAACTCTCTAATGACGTTGTAGGTATATTTATATATATATAAAGGTAATTTGTTCCACATAAAGGATACTGCTGCAGAGTAGCCCTTTTGCCGCAGGTACATCTTGTGACACACATTGCTTTGGAAGACTATAGTCAACTAGTATTGCCAATTTTGTAAAGCGCTTAGAAACATTGTATTAAGCGCTATAGAAATACAATGTATTATTATCATTATTATTATTATTTAACTAAGCTAAGTCAAGTTACAAATTGCCATTTCGATGCAACAAGAAGTTTGCATTCCAGAGATTAATTACATTTTTCAATAAACAGAAAAAGTTATAAAATTGCACTAAAAAGAATAAAAAGCAACACAGCAAAAGAAGCATGTTAATAATTATGCAATTGCAAGAGATATAATATTGAATGCAAAAGATATGCATGTAGGTATGGTATAATTTGCATTTTTCTAAAAAACTTATATTTAACTTTCGATTTCCTTTGCACCTGTAGTGGGCAATCAAACCCAAATTGATCTTAATTCACTTGAGTTTCCTCACCATTTGTTTTTATTTCAATAATCATAATGAAAATCTTAATCAAGATGATGGAGTTTAAAATTCTTGGATCGTTAATACCGGTAGCCTATTTCTAGTTTAAAACATCTTAAAACATATCCAAAGGATGCATGACAAAATATAAGAGGCCAACTACTCTCTCTGAGGGCCAGTTCAATTCCCTGAATGTTTCCTGATGTGAGTAATTTTTCTCTAATTTCCTGACTTTTCAGTGACTGGAAAAAGAGTATTTTTTCAGCTTACCAGGATAGTTCACATAATTATAATTCTTATCTATAAAGGCTGGTATAACAATAAACAGGGTGAACAACTATTTCAGGGGGGCAAGAATATTCCAGAATACAGTATTCAACTTCCATCTTCTACTCATAAACTCCAAAATGAAAAACAAACAAAAACAATGGTATTTGTTGTGGGGTCTAGGGTCGAAAGTGAAGATTGCCACCTTACCGATAGTACAAGATTTGTCCTTTCCTTGCATCTAAGTCTGCAGACTCCAGAGCAAAGCGACTTGTTGGGTTCAACTTGGTCTTGCAGTTCGTACGGCAACTACATGCATGAAGAGAGTGAATGTCAAATGATAGCTGAAAATGATGACAACAGTTTCTAAAGATATAGTTTAGCTTAATTGTTAGAGCTACATGTACATGTATGTCACTATTCCAAAGGTAAGGGTCTGTAATTAAGAGGAGACAATTCAATCATTCTTAGAGACAATGGAGAACTATGCAAATTTAGAAGACACGTCCATCAATATATTTATATTTATGCAAACATTTATCATACATGTGAGGTTGCTCTTGATGACTAAAAATCTTGCTGGTCATCTTCGTTAACTATTCTTTCAACCATCATTTTGACTACTATAATAAAATAACTTGTTAAAGGACAATGCAATAATTCATCACTACAAGCTAGGAAATAATCATAGAACTGAAAGCATTTTTTAAACTGCATTGGCTTTTGAAATTCACAATACCGGTCAATTTCGTCACACAACAAACACTAGGTGTACTTGACACAGAGAGAAACTAGATGGAATTCGACTGCGCGCAGTCGAAAATGATGCCTCCGTTATAGAGCAATTTTACAAACCAAAACAGAAAAAAAAAATTGAATTCACGTTCAATGGTAATCCATTGACAGGTTCTCAGAATATTGTGATTACAAGCAATTTCTCATATACATATATGACCCTTTGATCTTTGACCTCATGACCATAAAATCTACTCAGTTCATTGGCTCTGCAAGATGTTCTGAGTTAAATAGTAATCCATCTGTCAGTTCTAATGAGAATGCGTTCACAAGCTATTTTTGCATACATAATGGGCCCATGACCTTTGACCTTTGACCTTATGAACCAAGAATCTACTCAGTTCATTGGCTCTGCAAGTAACAAACATGACCTAATTTTGGCATGAATCCATCAATCGGTTCTTGAGATAACGCGATCACAAGCTGTTTTTGCATTCATAATGTGCGCTGTGGCCTTTGACCTTTGACCTACGTGCTCCAAAATCTAATCAGATTGTCTTCCTATGGTGATACACACTATCATTAAGTTTGAAGTTTTTACATCTCCAGTGGTTCTTGAGATATCATGATAACAATCTCAATGTATGGAATTTCATAAGTTGACCTCTGTGACCCTTGACCTTTGACCTACGTGCTCCAAAATGTAATCAGATTGTTTTCCTATAGTGATACACACTATCACTAAGTTTGAAATTTAAATCTCCAGTGGTTCTTGAGATATCATGATAACAATCTCAATGTATGGAATTTCATAAGTTGACCTCTGTGACCCTTGACCTTTGACATACGTGCTCCAAAATCTAATCAGATTGTTTTCCTATAGTGATACACACTATCACTAAGTTTGAAGTTTAAATCTCCAGTGGTTCTTGAGATATCATGATAACAATCTCAATGTATGGAATTTCATAAGTTGACCTCTGTGACCCTTGACCTTTGACATACGTGCTCCAAAATCTAATCAGATCGTCTTCCTATGGTGATACATACTATCCTTAAGTTTGAAGTTTAAATCTCAAATGGTTCTTGAGATATCGCGCTAACAAACTCAATACAAGGAATTTCATAAGTTGACCTCTGTGACCTGTGACCTTTGACCTACGTACTCCAAAATCTAATCAGATCGTCTTCCTATGGTGATAAATACTATTCCCGAGTCTTAAGTTTAAATCTTAAATGGTTCTTGAGATATTGTGATAACGGTCAAACGGGACGGACGTACGGACGGACGTACGGACGGACGGACGGACGTACGGACGGACGGACGGACGGACGGACGGACGTACGGACGGACAACCCGAAAACATGATGCCTCCGGCACCACCTTCGGTGGCGGAGGCATAAAAAGGGATAATATTTGAATAAATTTCTTACGCGATGGCCATCTTGGGTGGGTTGCCGCTAGCGACTTGCATCTCCTGAGTGGCAATGGCCATACGGTCTCCTTTGAAGGCAATCAGCTTGAGAAAGTAGGTCATGTTTTCATGCATGTAGAAGGTGTCGAGTGTGAAAGATCCCTCGGTGAAGTTAAGTATACCTGAAGTAAAACAAAACACAATTAATTGCTGATAAGTACAATCAGAAAACTATACCCGTTTCCATCGGCATGTATTTGGAGTCAGCGATGATGATTACATACAAATAACCATCTACACAATATTCAATGAGCTTTGATCATGGACTTGGAAAGCGTTTAATGTATCTCCTGTATTAAATACAGCAGCTCCTACGATAAACTTTCATGTTGTTTATGGTATTACCTGATGGGTTTTTTCTGTTAAGTAATCTCGCCCCAAGGACTATAGTTGCTTCTTATCTTCCTTTGTGCATCATTCAGTTCAATTCAACAATTTCAATAAATATTTTGGCAGATCATCATAGCATTTCTTAGGAGTATTAAAACTCAGTGGAAAATTAGTTTGAATATGTAAACTTCTATTTCCCATCACAGATAGCCCTTAAGATTACCATCAACAGAAAACATATAGTTGACACTTTTTCTAAACTTACTTCCAATTCCTCCTTTGTCAAATCCGAATCGACCAAAGCAGCCTCCATAGTCATTAGGTTCTACAATGTAGGGATCTTTGGCATTATAGCCATCATTGAGTAGTGTGGTATAATCCTCGTTCCATTCCTGGAAAGCCTCATGTTCTCTTCTACAAATCCAGACATAGCGGATACCGCTCTTATCGCTTGGATCTACGTCAGGGTCTATAGTCTCTGCAAGCCCATCCATGTAGATCTTGTCATTCCATCGGACACGAATCTCTGATCCTCCAGTGATTTTAGCAATAAGAGGAGTAGCTTTGACACGTAATTTGGTCCTATCCAAAGTCTCCACACCACGTTCACCGTACATAGACACGTTGAGTTGGAAGGCATAGAGTCCATACGGAAGGACAAACTTCTTGATGGCTAATTCTCTTTGGGTGTATCCTGACATGACAGAGTCCCCTAGATCATAGATCTCTGTCTCACTTCCATCATCAGCGACTTCATAAGCCTGCCAGGTGTAGAAGGCATACTTGACGGATGTGCAGTTGATTTTCACCCTAGCATAGACGGTTACATCCTTAGATGCGTAGTACTCCCTGTTACCATCATCATCACAGAAGGGATAATATTGATTGCAACCATTCTGTTCAGCAACATCCACTTCAGGGTAGTAACAAGGAGCCTTGGTTACGGCAGTTGGTATAGAAACAGTTTGAGAGGAAACCATGTTGTGAGCAACAACCGAGATGCGATATCTATTTACAGTCTGGAAAACGTTGGTGAGTGTGACATTTGGATCTTGTCCACTGAACAGTAGACCTTCCAGGTAAACATTGCTCACTTCCTCAAAGCGTAGGAACTCGTCTTTGAACTCTAGAGGGTAGCGCGCCTCACAGGTCGGCCGATGGCCCCAGAAAGCAAGGTTATTAAAGTCTGACGTGACATCTTTGAAATCCACAAAGTAGCAGACATCCGTGCCTACGTTTCCTGCGTTCAGCTCAAACTCAATAGTGGTATTTCTTGATCGTGGACCATGATCAGACAACACAAGATCTTCAACGCTTCTCTGAATGACTACAGTCTTTGAGACCACCACCCAGTGAACAGGGTTAGAGACATTCAGTGTTATGGTGTATACACCACGTTGGGCATACCACCAGATGGCATAGGGCTCTCTGGTTTGGAGCACATAGGGTGGACGAGTAGTTGGAGTCTCAGTTATTGGAGGTGTGGTAGACGAGGGAGGGTCTGTAGGTGCTCTGGTTGGTAACGGATCTGGACACAACGTGACATCAAGAGACACATTCTCCCTCACAAAATGTCTACCAATCCAAGTGAGAACTTCATAATTCAGACAGTTCCATTCACCAACCAAGTCAACGAACGTCTCCAAAATAATCGTTTTATTCTCGTTCACGAAATATGTGTAATTTGACACGAAGAACCAGGTATCATTTCTTGCCGTTTCATTGAAACCATCACAGTTGTACTTTTGGCTCTTTATGATGCTGTCGGTGCAGTTCTCATCTAATGCATAATGGGGTGTAGTAATTGGACCTACTGTTGCGGGAGGAGCAGTTGTACAGTTATCACTGCTTGAACTGTTTCCATTACTGGTACAGTTCACTGCAGGTGGCGGTGATGTTGGTGCTGAGGTCACGGCTGGGGGAGGAGGGGTGATGACGATGGAGCCACTGGAACAGGCCAGAAGATCATCATCCCTTGTATCCAAACGATCCAACACTGACTGCACCCAATCTTCAACAATGAAAGTACAATTTAGAGGCTCTTCGGTGGTGGTGGTCATCAAAGGAGTGGTTGTTTCAGACTGTGTTGCTGTCTGAGGCTGTGTACTTGGAGCTTCAGTGCTTGGATCGGGCACATGGAAGGTATCCCCAAAGTCCCAGGTGTAGGTCAAGTCTGTTCCTGATGCATGCGTTCCCTTAACGACAATTGCATCCTCCAGAGGGAAGTAATTCTGCAGAGTACCGAACCCTTCCTGGTCATTCTCTGTGTCATTACCAAGCATGTAGTCACCATCAATGATGAACTCATTGTAGCTGACTTCCTTCTGTAGCTGGATGACAGTCTCGTAAATGTAAATGGTGAACACATGGGTCTTATCACTAACAAGATTCCATATGCGAAGGGTAACATTATACTGACCCCATTCGTCATAGTCATGCTCCACGGTCAAGATGTGATTAGTGGAGTCTGTGTTCCTGCTACCAACAGCTCCATTCTCAGTCAATGATTTCTCATCGTGGATTGACCCGTCACCCCAGTCGATGGTGTAGTAGGCTGTAGTAGGGAAAGGTAAATCCTTTGCTTGGTACAGGTGAAAGGGAACTGAGCTATAGGTGTCCTCAACCCACAGTCTGTTCAGTCTCCGTCCAAGCCATTCAAATCCCTTCACTGGGTGTTGGACAACAACAGGATCTGAATTCAAATTATAGGTTTCGCTACCCAAGAGATTAGTTGCTATCACCGAAACTGGGTAGATACCTGGTTCTCGATACTTATGATTACGTGTGCGCTTTCCTCCAATGTCGATATCCACGATGCTTCCATCCTTGAAGTCCCATTCCCAGGTGACCCTTGAACCCCAGCTGATGGAAGCTGTGATCTCCCCGTGCTGTCCTACACGGATGTGAGGCCTTGGGCAGACAAGCACCAGGTCTAGGATTGGTTTCTCCATCTCAATGTCCGCTTCAAAGATCATGAAGCTCACAAGGTTGGAGATATGATGTAGACAGCATACGGACCCGTCTTGGCCAGTGGCATGTGCTGCTGGACTGGATTGGAAACCGCAATGGGAAAGTCCTCTACTGGCTTTATCTTGGAAGTGAATTCATATGCCACATTAGCATCGGTTGGAGGAGTGCTCTGGTCCCCAGTGTACTCGTATTCAAAGAGGATAGTACCAACCTCCTGGTATGGAATTACTCCAGGAGAATGGAAGGTCATCTCTAAATTTTCCACAGGATTCTGGACCTTGATCAATATCCATACCAGCTCATCACTAACAGCACTTGTACAGTGGATCGTGACGTTGTAATCAGCCGCAACGTCGTAAGAATGCCACTCCAAGAACTGGTCACTCCAGCTTCGCCTCATTTCAACTTCTTCGTAGGTATTGGAATCGCCATCATCAAAATCCATGACCATGGTGAGGTCGGATCCTACCTTCATGTCAAAGGCTATTGAAATGGAGTCATGAGGCATAATGTACATCTCTGAGACCCACATCATGAGGTCCTTGATAGCATATTCCACTTGTACCGTGACTACATCGGTGAAGGGTCCACTCACCAAGTTCAATGTTGTCAAGGACAAGTCATAGAACCCACGATCGCTGTATTTATCAGGTGGTATAACAATGTAGCCTTCCCGATGGCATCGTTCATGTAGTACAGTGATTCATTTGTCAAATCTAGAGCGAGGCTAGCAAATTCGCCTTCAAAGGACAGGTTGGTTCCAGTATCAA